TGCTGTCATGCGACTTGAGGTGCATGGTGATCTCGTGAGTTGAGCAAACTAGTCTGGCAGAAGTTGCTCTGCTGCTACACCGCTTTGATTTCGGCAATTGGGCTTTACTTGGCTGCATTACCACAGTCCGAGCTCTCCTGGCAAGGCCTTTAAAGTCACTAGGCCAGCTGCTGCCAATTGCTGACTATGTGAAGTTTCTCATATCATTAGAGCTTCAGATGCGAAAGGTATTTCACGAGTTCAGCTCGTTGACATTTACTCTTCGCAGCAAAGAAGCCCGCTGCTGGTTGCAGAGCTCCTTGCAGAAGGAATTCCTTAGCAAAGCAGGAGCCTCAGACGGAGCTGAGCTGAACAGTTACGGACGAAGGTTCTGCACGTCGCCGGCTCTGGTGAGGGCATTGAGGACTGACCCGAGCCCCCCCCCACCCGCCACAGGCTTTCAATGGCAAACGCACGTCGGTCCACGCACCGAAGTAACCCGGAAGGATTAGGGCTTGGGCTTTCGCTTCAAGGCTAAACCACTCACAAAACCATGCAAAGGCTGAGGTCCAGCAGAGGACTGGGATTCGGCCAAGCCATGTCTACTCAGCCCCAAGCCTTCGTCCTGGTGCCTCAGCCCCTCTCAGCCCGTAAAGCACCAGAGCGTCAGGTTGTTGATTCGCGTCTCCACCAAGTCGGAAGCTTTCTGATCCTGGGTATGTAGGATCTGCAGGATGTCTAGAGTCTAGCGCCCGCGAATGATCCCGAATGGCAATGCCTTAAAGCAGGCGCAACTTGGCGAACTATCTGTGGCACCTTTGGCGTATGCTGAGACACTCGGGGTCTTATTGCAGAATAAAAGTCCTTGTTGGGCTGCGCCAAGAATACGCTACTAGATGATCTGGGTTGCTGCAGCCCCACACCTCCCTAGACACCTTCCGGGGCTGTTTGCGTGCCCGTCCGTCCCGGCCGGTTGCAGGGTCTCGTAAGCATCCCCAATGACAGACATAATGTTTTGCTATACATGCTCATGTCATGTGTTTCCTTTTGTATCACATCTGCATCGGGTGTTGGTATGCCCGAACATCGTGCAGTGCATGACACTTCTGAAATCTAGCTATCCATTCCAACTCGAGGCGTTACGAAAACTTGCTCAAGACCCCGACAGCCGCAGCGATCGCATGTTGCAACTTCCTGGCGAGCTCCAACAAAACCCAGACATCTGCAAAAGCTCGCAGAGATTGCGCTGCCACTTGCAGACACTTGCAGCCTGCCTGATCTCGCTCGAATGCTTGTCCTGGAACAACACAGCTAATCCATGCTATGCCGCTATGCGTGCATGGGGCCCCATGGGGCCGAAGCCGCCTATGCCGTTGTATTGCAGAGGCCTCTAATCAAAAAGAAAAGCAAAGTCAGAAGCCGGCTCTGGGACCCACAACTCGTTTTTAATGGCTGCTTCTGAACGAAGGATACAGCTGCACAAGCACAGGGGATTCGAGACATTTTGGAGAGACACTGTGCAATAGTTGTAGATCGATCACTTACAAACCATGGCTTTTGTGCGAGTGCAGTGCTACAGAACCAGCCCCGATAACAAGCGCACAAGAACTCGCATGCTGGGATAACCAAATCACGCAAGCAAGAGCTGATAGAACATGTCAGGAAATGTTCGATACCGAGCCCCAGCGATCCGCTTCGCCTGCTGGAGTTGAAGATTCTGCAGGAGCGAAAGCGTGCCCTGACACAAAGCTGGCATCTGCAAGCTGATGGTGTTAGAACATCCATGCGGATCTGGGGATCTACTTAGCCGGTTTGCTTAGACTTTCAGGGCGCAACCACTGCGGAGAAGTATGGACACGTGTCTCTGAAGGGGTTCGGAGTTCGGAAGGCAGCGCATTGACAGAGACTGCTGTCGAAGATGTGGCTTCGTATGGATTCAGATTTTGTCTGTTCAACGAAAGCCCTTCCTGATGGTGTTCTCCATTTCGATCTGAAGTATGCCAACACTGCAGGGCTGGCCGTTGCTGGTGTCGGCATCCTCGTCGTTTCTCGTGTTCGTCGATGCAGAGGTGGTGGTGAATGAAGTGGCGATGCTGTTGTCATTTCTATCAGTATCGTTGCCATTGAAGCCGTAGTACGTCGCGTGTTAATAATCGCAGCAGTAGTGTGGCACAGTAGCAGCGGTGGTGGCGGTTGTAGCAGCAGTCAGGCGAGAATTTAGGAGGAGGAGGAGGAGGAGCAGGAGCTGCTGTTGTTGCTGGTTTTGGTAATGAAGGCTGCAGCGGCTGCTTCTGCAGCTGCTGCAGTCGTTGGTGGTTTTACCTTTGCAGGTAGTTTATTCGGGTGTTGTCTGATATTTGCTCTGTAGCTTTATTGCTGCTGCTGGTGTGTTTTTCGGCATTCTCGCGAATGCTGTGTTGTTGAAGTGGCCTGCCTCATTTTGTTACTCTAGCATTTGGTGTGCTTGCAAGGCATAGTTTCGCTGCCGTTCTTCCCGGCGTTGCTTCTTTTCCTGCTTCAGTTGCTGAGTCCAAACAAAAGCCAGGCGCCTGCCACTTGTCATCAAGTTTGTCCAGAGCGCCTTTGGTCGTGTCCGTATTGCCTGCATCGGTAACCGAACCAAGGCAGTCACCAGGCGTCACGGATCGTGCCAGACGTGGGCCTCGAATGTCGGAGGCCTCTGCACGCGTGGCCAGAAGCAGTTGATGCATGGCCGTCATGCGGGTGTCCTGTGCAGGACTTGATCTGTGCTTGTGATGTACAGTCAAGCATATAATCAAATTCTGCATATAGCCAGGCCATCAACGAAACTAGGACTTTAGGCCAGAAGATCAGTCGTCAACACGTGACCAAGAAGACCCACGCAGAATGGCTTGCAGTACGACACGACTTGGTTATCAGATATCGCTCCATTGTCAATCATCCAAGCCTCAACCTGACATTGACGTAAATTGCCCTTGGCGGTTGGGCGGTTGCATGCAGTCTGGGACTGTTCCACTCTTGAAAGCGGCGGTGCATTTATTGTGCTGAATTCGTGGGCTTAGCCTGTATCCGGTCCCGATTATGACAGTCCTTGGCTGCGACAGAAGAGCTCAAATTCTGCAGCTCGTGCTCTTGCTCTTCTATTTTGGCATCTCGGCACGAGGCAGCTGGCACAAGCTGGCTTTGTCGGCAGCATCCCTCTGAGCACGGCACTCTGCTTTGCCATCTTCTCTGCGAACTTGACAACCCTTGCCTCAGCTTTGAAAGGCTTTCTGACAGGCGTGCATGGATTATGCAGGCTGCTTTGCCTCCATCTCGTACAGCGCACCCTTCATCTGGCCGATCTCCTGGTAGCCAACGCTAAGGAACATGCAACGCTGACATTCGGATGAGTGGAGGACAGTGCCGGGAGACTCCGGAACCTTCTGAAGCTTCCGAGTCCACACAGCTCCACACATCCGTTGTCCTCGGTCATAGGGTTCAAGGTGCTGACAAGGTGGGACTGGACGAACTCCTGCATCACTTCCTCGGCATCGCGGACCGCACTCGGTCTTCTAGGGCGCGAATGTGAGACGCATGACTGCATGACCTGTCTTTGTTCGGTCCGGGAACGTCATCCTCGGTGGCCAATTTCATCTTCGGCGGTGGCAAAGCGATGCCTCAGAGAGGCACCGCTTTGGTGCCATGGGAGTGGAATGAAAACAGAGTCCAAGTCTAGGCGAAGTTCCAGGACTCGAGCTTTTGGCATCGAGCCAAGGAATACCACCGGCGTTTCCGAGTCTCTGTGAGCGGAGCGTTGTGTTCTTTGGGCCTCTGGGCTCAGCGGGCCTAAGACGATGCGACGTGGTGCCATAAGCTCTCGCAGCTCTCGCTGCCTTCAGCCTTTACGAGTCTCCACTATCTGCCCGAAGGGCAAGCGAGCCAAGTGAGCTATGAGCAAGGCTCTTCTTGGACCTTCTGGGTCATTGTTGGATGCTTGCTGCGGAGAAGCAGCCTTTCAGCTCGGGGGAGTAACGGTCCTCTCCACTCCTGTGCAGTGCCGACACATGGAATGAACCAAAGAATGTAACGCTGCTTGCCGGATGCCTTCCTGCGAGTCAAGACTAGATGCATCACCACGAGGGTGTTTGACGAGACCCTGCCAATCGTTTCAGGTCAACGAGAGTCTTTTCGCTCCTCCAGGTGTCTGTGGTCGAGCCCATGAGATCCTGACAAGCACCGTTTGGGGGCACGAGGCGTCAGACTGCATCTGGTTGGGATGGAAACGCAGGATAGTCCGTTCTCATTGTTCTTCAAGCTCGCCCAGATGATGTTGCATTTCTGCCAACTCCGACCCGAAAATGCCACAACCGATGTTTACTCGACTATTTGGGATTGGGAAGTTGAGGGGTCGCACAGGTGGGAAGAATAAGGACTCCAAGAGGAATGCTAGGGCTGGGGTATGAAGACGAAGAAGTCCCAGAAGGTCAGCATCGGCCGTCCAAGCTGCTCTCGGAGTTCCAGGCTTTGCTCCCAGGGGGGTCCCGGGCTTTGCGCCCAAAGTGTCGTCCTGAGAATCTCTGATGCAGTCTGACTCCGGCGGGTGAGAGAGGAAGAAGTCCAAAGGCGCAAGCACTAAGTGTGAAGGTTCCCGAATGAGCACCAATGCTTCACAGCGGTCACCCTTGCCCGGCACTCTGCGCTCCTTCATTGTAGAATGCATGGCGGCAGGCTGAGGCTATGGATTTCTAAAAATCAGGAGCGATGCTTGCTGCTTGTGTGCGATTGGATGCTTTGATACGCCTGGGCCTTCACAAGGACGGACCTTGTCGACTCCGAACTATCACGGGCCTGCGGCCTGTCTATACGTTTCTCGAGAGCCAGCGCTACCGAAGCGGTGGCATGCCATCGCATGCCGTCCCAGCAATTTGCAAGCCGGATATGGGCTTTCGGAGAATAAGACGGGACGATCTGACGACCTTTTGCACGGCAGGCCGTTTGGGGCCGGGAAGGGAAAGCGCAGCGAAGCTCCCGGTGTTCCCGTCCGCCGGGCGCAGGGCCGTGTTTTCTCTGGCAGCCGCTCGTGAGAAGCCGGCAAGGCCTCAGCGCCGCCCATTTTGGGTGAGAAGCTGGGCCCCAGCTTTTTGTAGCAAGCGCAGCCGTGCTTTTTCCTTTCCTTCCTCCCGCCTGGAATACTAGAGGTGAAGCGGTCACAACTCCCGGAAGCTCCGCAGAGCTACGTGTAGCTTTCGTGACATGCACTGGGCTAAAGCAGCAAGCTAGGATGTCTGTGCTATGCTTTCCGTTGGTTAGTAGGGAATGGAGGAATGGGGTATAATTATAACTACTATTACTACCATTCTTCCATTCCCTACTAAACGGTAAGGTGTGCAAGATGAGTCTGAGGTGACTGAGGTGAGTGGGGAGCTCAGCTTGGCCCAAGGGCGCTGCCTCGTCGCGGCGTAGGGTGTCTGCGCACCTCCGAGGGTCCGAAAGAGGAGGGTCAGGGCTTTCCGCGCCTGGCACTGGGCCCTTCAAGGCCTCTCCATGCAGAGCCTGGTGATGCTGTTCATCCGGTCCTCTCAGCGACTTTACGCTGCTTCTAAGTGCAGGACGAAGACAAGAACGAAGGGCACACGAGTCACACGAGCATGCAGCAAGGGATGAGGACACAAGCGGAAGAATACGACGCGAAGACATAGCACCTGCTCACACGCTGCTGTGACATGCGACACCAGGACACAAGACCGACCCGATGCCGGACGCGAAACAAGGGCACGAGACAGGAAACAACGACGAAGATACTAATCACGAAGGGACATCGAATATGCAGGAATCCGATATGCAGGAAACCGATTACCACACCTGTCGCCGTTGCCGTGGCCACATGTCCATGTCACTGTTCACTCACATCTTTGTCATCTTTCACGCACGAACAACACACCAATAGTTGCGAGGCTTTGCAACCTATTCAACCGCAGTACGGAAATGTCCAGCAGGATTAGGTTAAACGCTTTGCAGTTGACGGTCTCGAATCTCTCTCGCGGCGCACAAAACTCGAATAGCATCGCTGTGAAACGCTTGCTCTTTGTCGCTGACGGTTTCGATTTTTCTTGCAGCACGGAAATGACGAACATGATCCGGGTAAACGTCTGTTCTTTCGTCGCCACTGCGATGGAATTTCTCGCAGCAAATTAATCTCGAAAAGAATGGGCAAACCAGCAAAACGCTATAGGGCTGACGGTTTGGGATTTCTCTCGCAGCGAACCGTTTGTCGAAGCAGGATCCATAAAACGCAGAGAATCATCAGACATAGGTCGGGCTTCGTTGCCAAACTCGGCCGTCCTGCTCTGCCTTCGCAGTCAGCAGCACCCTGGGAGCTGCTTGGCAGAGGGATTCATGACAGGTCAGGCCACAGCATTGCATCTTACAAGTTCTTCTGACGAAGCGTAAAAGCCGAGCATAGCGAGCAGTACGTTTGCTGCCGGCTCAGACTGAGGGCGTGGGGCTGCGTGGTTGATGTCGACTTGGCTCTGTGCATCTCTGTCTGCAATTAGACGCCGAGGTGCACGTCGGCCGGCGTCATCGAGGGCGTGAAGGCACTGCCGAGGAGAGGTTTGGATTCTTAGATTCTTGGCACTCGAACTCACGTCGCGATCAGTGTGGGCCTCATGCCGAAGACGATGGCAGCTTGGCAGCACACAAGGGTGGCTGTCTAGGCCAGCAACTCAGCGCTGCTGGCCACTGTCTCCGGCTTCAGCTGCAGATGCTATGTGGTTGTTCTAGTCGCCAACTTGTCTGGCGAAAATCGGGGGATGCCCTGTTCTGCCCAAGATGTTGGCGCAAGTCCTATGCATACGGTCGATGTAAGCAAGTCATGGGCGTGAGGGTGCACATGCTTCCATGGGCGACATCCGTTGAGCCAAACAGCATCGTGAAGAGAACACTTCTAGGCCGTGCATGACCAGACTGCAGGCATCAACAAATATCAAAGACATGTAAGGGGTGTAGGATGCAGTATGCTGCAGCTTGAAAGGTACGTGAGCGGCTTGGCCTCCGCAATGATGTAGTTCAGTGTGATCCAGGGAACGCCCGGCTGAGATTCCAAGTACATCTGCACCTACAGCGGCATTCGATGCGATAAGGCGACAGATGGTGATAACTGATAACTGTTGATTATGTGGCAGTCTCCGGCAAGCATGACAACACGATATCGGCAGAAGGTAAAGCCCCTTGGACAGGAGGGCGATCTGAAGGCTTCGCCGGATGGGACAAGTGTCTTTAGCCAGTCCTGACCTAGACTTCCGAAGTGGGCACTTTGTTGAAGTGCGAGGCTTTCAGGTGAAGTGCAGCTATACAGATCCCAGCCTGCTCGCGGGACACCTTTCGGGGCAGTGTCGAAAGGAACGAACATGGAGCACGATGACAATGGGCACAACTTCGAGGAGTCACAGCCTTGCCTGGAAGTCACTGTCCATCCACTCATACGGGACGTTCCAGCCTGCTGGCACTGCTGGTCGCTTAGCCACCGTCTCCCCAAATTTTGTTTGGTTAGCCTGGTATCGCAATCCTGACACCTTCGTATTCAAGTTACATCCTTGCTAGGCACGAAGCTCGTCACTCCCAACGGGGCCCGGGGCGCACCAATGGGGCCAAACTTCCGCCGCTCGAGGATGGCGGCATGGAAAAAGGCGAGTGCGTATCTCGGCATCTGAAGTCTGAAGACTTTATGCCTTTATGCCAAAAACCATACTGTGCTCTAGTTCCACTTCGCCTCAAGACGCCCCACGAGAGACCTTTTCTTCCTGGGGACATGGAGAGCGGCTTTGCGGACTCGTGCTGGAGCTGCTCCGGGCACTCCTACTCGGTACCAGTACCGTACGATCTGATACTGGCAGCTCCGGCAGCCGGCAGCTCAGAAATTTCAAGCGCAGAACAACGAAACGAGCACCGCACGGAGGGCTTCAGCCGGACACGCAAAGCATCCTTGGACACTTCGGCCCCTACTGGACTGCGCAGTTTTCAAGGCTGCACATGTCGCCATCCTGGTCTTGGTCTGGCCTAGAACAATGGCACAAGAAATACTACGATCATCGTCGGGATGTGCCACACAGTTTGTGTGATTCTCCGCTTCAACATGACTGCCCTATCTAAAATTCTCGTGGCCTGTCCCAGGAATTTGGGTAGTAGTCTCATCGCCCTCGGCGTCATCTAGCTCATCAACAACTTTATGACTGTATGCCGATGGTCATTGTCTTCAACATGACCATCATCATGATGACCAGGGACATGATCATAAACAACAACAGCATCGCCGGCGGCAGATGTCAACAGTATACGGAATCAAAAGCCATGCACTTCTCAGCACCGTTAAAAACCAACGAAGACGGTGACGGCTACTACAATCAAGATCAGCATTACGTTGTACATGGTTATTATGATGGTGGTGCCGGCGCCGGTACTGCTTCTGCTGCGCGCAGTTCGCCGTACCTATGCTTGATGAGGAAAATGCTTTGCCACTTTGGCGAATCTCGCCATACACATGGTTTTATGCTGGTGTGCGGTGCGCTCTTTTTGACTAAGCACGGGCCGTCAGCTCTCAAATGTTGGCTAAGCCTTGCTTGTCTTGGTTCACTGCGCAGTCTGTGAAACGACTCTCTTCAGAGGGTGTGCAGCGTCCATTTAAGTGTTTGAGTGTTGTGTGATGAGCTACAACACCCCCAAACTTGCAACCATCGGCCTCACACCGAGTCATGCGATGGGGTTAACGTTCGCAATCTGAGGACATGGAGCATTGCACTGTTGCAGAGCTCCAAGCCCGGCTGTACTGCCTTCTGAACCACGGGGTCTATCCATTTTGCAGCACGCCCTCCCCCGCCAGTGCTATCCAACCCAAAGACGCTGTGGCATAAGTCATAGAAGATGGATTCCACTAAGTACACAACTTGAGACCTACAGCCGCTGGCTTTGGCAAGTCTTGGTCACCAAAACTACCGCAGCGCCCACAGCCGAGCGTAGGAACGTTGCAGGCAGTCAGGGCCGGCAGCACCTGACATGCGAACGACGCCTTCCGCGCCTTTTCGGAGAAATCTCCGGCCTGGGCCCCAGAGGAGAAGAGTTCCAACATCCTCGCCCTCCGCTGCGGCCCCGTGCTTTGCTGCCTGCAGCGAACAGTGGCAGTCTTTTGCTCAACAAAGTAAGAAGAGCAGCAATGCCCAGACAAGGCGAGTGCCCAAATGGCTTCGGAGCTCAGCAGTGGATGGCGATGCGAACCTTGGGAGCGAGAACGCTGCAGCAGAACGGCCAACCCCAAGGTTCACACCACAAACCGCGATTAAAGGAACCGCTGCCTTCTTGGCAAGGTTTGAGCACTCCGGCCTTCTATTTACGGATTTTACGGTCTCCAGGCTTTCATTCTCGGGCCGTTCAAAGCCATGGTGTTGCACGGATTTTGAGCTCAGGGCTAGCGTGCAAAAGGAGGACGGAGAGCCGCGTGTACTCGATCCACCTTGGTCTGGAAAGGAGCTGCCGCTGCTGAGTGCCTGAGTTCCTGGAGCTCTTCTTCTTCTGTGTCAGGGGAAAGCTGTGCAAAAGCCGGGCTGCAAGTAGCCTCCCAAGGGAAGAAGGATGTGCCAGAGCCTCGATTCAAAGTTCAGAGGAGACGCGAGCTCGTGTAGTCTCAGCCGGCAGTCGCGGCGGCTCGGCTGCCAGGGCCCAGGCGTATGAAAAAACTGATATCTCCGGCCGTTGCCTTGCCACAAACTCTCTCTCTCCCTCTCTCTTGCTTACTTACTTACTTCTCTCTCTCTCTCTCACTCACTCGACTTCGCTTGCAGAGCCTACATGAACTTTCAGTCGACGCTGGCAGTAGAACTTTCTCGATCCACTCGAGTTGACTCGCTTGCTCCAGCAGGGGACTCCACGTCAGTCGTGTCAAGTTGCCCACCGCATTGCTTTCGGCATTTCACTCGGGCCGCCAAACCAAAAGGTCCCTTGAACCGGCCTGCCACGAAGGCGCGTGCGCCAGCTTTGAAGCACAAGAGGCCCAACCTCGAGGCATGCGCCAGCTTTGCCTCTCTGCCCTACCCCGCACCATCCCCTGCCCGTGATTCGCGGGAAGCATGAGGTTCCGTGATGGCTTGGGCCTGCAAATACCGGAGCAAAGCACTGTCTGCGCAGTTCGGCTCCCGGCGTCCAGGAGCAGCACAGCAAAGACAGCTGCACTGCGTCCATGCTGCAAAAGGCCAGCCTGAGGCTTTCCACGCTCGCGAACCGATCAAACCTCTGAACGAAAGTCTTTCACCACAAGATCGAAGCCAGTCTGCTTTGGGACCTGGATTTTGTAAGGTCCCCGGGGCCTGCAATCTCTCTGAATCCCTCCCCGAGTTCGTTGCAACTTCGCTTCCTTGAGGCTATACAGGGTATCTGGGCGCCTGCATCTTGCGAAACCAGGGGTTCTTGCGTTCAATCTACAATCGATCAGTGGCGCTGGGGAAATACCTGGTTCCTATATTTCACGGCAGATGTGACAAATCTGGTCCCCACGTCCTGGACTTCATTTACGTAGGATGCTCGCAGCATACGTCTCCCACTGTGGTGGTGCCCTATTAAATCTACCCTACAGATCTCCTCGTATCCTGGCGTCGTGGTGCTCTCTTGCTGGTCGCCTGGTGGTCTCTTGGTTTAGTCGGTCTTCTGTGCTGGTCTCATGGTGTCGTGGCGGTCTTTTGGTGGCCTGAGAGTAGTCTCCCCGTCGTCCTTGTCACCGTGCTCGTCGTGAGTGGTCTTGTGATGGCATGCATGTGGAAGGTGTTGAATACTTTGGCAGCGCGGAAGTTCCGGCATGAACTTGCAGGCCTTCCATCTGCAGGGTTTTAAGTAATTTGCAAATATGATTGAGACACGAATCTGCAGTCTCAGTCAGGAAATAAAGTCCCACGCGGGACTGCCATGGTTTCGCAAGACCTTGGCAAACCTTTTGTGGATCGTGTCACTGCAAGGGCGATTCCACTGTAACGAGACACTGACGTCAAACATGCAGCTCTTGCCGTGCTCCTCTCATCTCCGCTGGTCCTCTGGTCTCTACGCCACTACATTTTATGAACCCGTTCTACCTGCACTTTGGAGCCCGACTTCAGAGGCTGGCACATGGTGAGGAAGGTAGCACAACACCTGTTTGGCTTGCAGTCCACTCGCTGGAGACATGCGCTTTCCACTTGCCGCAGCCTATCTGCAAACTTCGCCGCCGGCGATCGCCCCGCAAAGTAGGCGTCATGCATGAATGACAGACCTCGGCTGGGTCAAAAAAGTACAGCAACAGCACTGCTTAATAAATCATTGGTTTAAGAAATCGAGCCCCTCGGAAAGCCGTGCGACAAAAAGATATATACATAAAACGCGCGCATTCAAAAAAAGAAATGCAGGGTACCCTGGCCTCGGCGTGCCAATTTCTTGTTTTGCTCTTTCTCATTTTGTCTTCGCCGGTGTTGGTCGCACAAAAAAGGAACCAAGAAACTAAGGGAGCAGATTTCGTATTCCAAAAGCCAGGCGCCAAACCCTTACAAAGGAAACCAAGAAATGAGAGCACAGGAGGCTTCGACCCCAAAGCAACTTCCATTCCAGCTCATGCGCTTATCCACTCGGGCGTGGCATCCTTCAAACTCTTGAAACGCCATCATATTATCCATCCCATGTTTCTCCCAGCTTGTTATCAGCCCTTGGCAGAACCCCCCAAAATAAGAAATCGAGCACCTCAATTTCTTATTTTGGCGGTTTTTCCTCTATGGCAAAGCTTAACTTAACCCCTTATTGAGCCCTGTCATAGCCTCTAGAGCCCTCCAAAGCAAGGCCTTATTAAGCCCAATGCCCAGAACCCACCAAAATACGAAATCGAGCCCCTCAATTTCTTTGAGCTGGAATCGGAATGGAAGGTGCCGCGGGCTCGAACCCTCCTGTGTTCTCATTTGTTGAATTTGATTTTTTTGCTGCCGTTTCGAGCCCACCTCACGAAAAAAACAACTGTTTCTTAGCCGGCGCTGTCGCTGTAGACGACATCTTGCCTGTTATTGCCTGTTTGGCCTGGTTGGCCTGGTTGGCCATTGCGATTTCACGACTTCACCATGTAGCAGACACAGCTGGGGAGGCTGTGATGCTGAGGTCTGGTTCACGAGCGAGGTTCGGGAAGTTTCCTCCGTGAGGAACTGGGAGCACGGGATCAAGTCCCTGCAAGGCTATACACACCAGGCTCCATTGATTGGGGCTCGTGCACCCCTGAAGAAGAAGGAGGCATGCCTGCAGTGGTGCTTCACATGGAAGCACCGGACAGCAAGAAAAGACTCGTTCAACATTCACGGCCGCGTTCCATAAATTACTCGTCTAAGACCTTGAGGGCAGCCCTCTCGCGCACCTCCAGCTGCCAGGGATAGGCGGCACAGTGGCAGGCGACGTAGCCGAGGCGCCTGCAAGGCGGGACCCAAGACATCGGTCGGTTTAGCGATGCGCCGATGCAAGGCAACTCGGGCCGGGCTGGCCAAGCCATGTCAATCCCGACAGCACCTGAGCTGGCAAAGGGGAACAGCTAAGCTAAACTACATAGCCAGCCCGAGAGAGGCCCTGCCACTGACGTGCTTGACAGTCAGGTCACTGTAGCAGAAACAGCACGCGCGGAACCACCAAGCCAAAGCAGGACCTGTTCACGGCAGTGTCATGGTCTCTTAGTGTGACCCTTTTTGATGACTTGAGCGTGCCAGAACAAGGGGCCCCCTTTTGCCCCGGGCCCAGGCCCTTCCGAACCCTTCCCTTCCCAAGCCTCCCCTCCTGAAACCCTTCGACTGCCTCGGTCCTTCTCGGCAGGACACCGTGCCTGCACCGAAATAAATCGACCCTTTGTGTTGGAGAACTACCACTACCACTTAACCGTGGAACTAGGGCTCACTGTGCATAGGCGAGAAGCTGCTTGAGGCCTGGAAGCTGGCCAATCACAATGCAAATACGGAAAACACGGCGAAGAGCAAGGTCGGCGGTTGGCGTCTTTGTCTTCAACGACAGCCCATCATCACCCAACATCGGCTGTAGGGGCCTGAACATGTCCAGGTGCCTCGTAAATAACAGGAAAGAGTAAGAATGACTACTCTTTGCCCCAAAGGGCCTTGGAATGGTTGGACCGGCTGAAACACATAGTGCATGCGTGAGTTCCGTATGTAAGATCTTCATCCACAGCAGTAGCTATAGGCCCTGACACTTGCAGAAGCACAAACTTTCAAAAGCGTATTGCCTCGGCCTCCGAAGGCGCCTCTTCATCCGGCATGCACAACCGTTCCTGACGACGGAACTGGGCCAGGCCGGGCTTTTCACCGTCTGTGGACTCTGCGCAGCCGTGTAACCGAAAAGAGCTCCCACTCACAGCTCCAAAGACCAAACGAACCGTTCGCCGATTCGCTGCCAAGGCCTGGGGGTGGGTTGCTTCCTCGAGCTCCAAGCAGCGCATGGCTCGAATTCGCTCGTGGCCCGTCGTGGTTACTCTAGGCCTTCGGAGGACCTGAAAAAACTTTCGAAGATTGCGCTTGCGGCTTGGGCGGCTTTGCGCCTGCGGCTTCGCCTGTGCGCGTTCCAGTGCTTGCTCTGTCGCTCCGCTGCTGACTGGCTGCTGAGGCCGCGCTGAGGCCCTTTGCTTCTTTGATGCGTCACGCGCGGAAGTCCGCCTTCGAGCCGAAAGGCGCCGCGGAAGTCGGCTCCCCCCTCGACACGGCAAGGCCTTGCCGGCCTTGCCGGTTGCTGGGCAAAAGTCTACGTCTTTAGGGGCTCCGTGCCACTCTCACTGTGCACTCGCTGTGCGTCTGGCAGAAGCTTCTTGAACCTCGGCGCATCGGGTGGCTCTGCGTTGGGCCGAACGGTGTCGCCTTGCTGACTCGAATCCAAATCGGCGAAGAGGCTCCCGGGGCTTGGTGCAGCCCTCGTAGATCTCAGGCGTGATGTCCTCGGAAGGGCTCAAAAGTGCAAGGAAACGACCGGGAGTGCTCCTTCGCATCCGAGCTCTCCTGGAAGGTTCGGGTGAGGTTGGCCCGGAGGCCTTTGGGCGGCTCGTTGGTGATCTTGATGCCTAGGCGGCACAGCAGAAAGACAGGTAGTGGACGTGAAGACCCTATGTGGTTGGACGGCACCCTTTCCCCCTCGCTCAGGGGCCCTGGCCGCCCTGCAGCACTGGAACCGGAAACGTTGGTGAAGGCATCGAGGTCAACCACAGGCGGTACCTGCCCCGACGAGTATGGTGCACGTGCAGATTGTGACAAACTGCTGTTGGGATGGTGTTGATCGCACATCGTGACGCTAAGGACAAAGGAGCAACTCAGGCTAAAGAGACATGCAAGAAAGAACCAGAAGCCATAGGCGCACATGTCGTCAATGCTGTCAGGATCCTGCATTTCCTGTGCAGTAGCCCTAAATAAGTTGACGTCATGGAATGTCATGGAGTCATGAAGTGGAAGTTTCGTCTTTCCTCCGGGCGCCTAAGACATTCAGAGGCCTCTTGCTCCGTTTCAGCCGGACTCCTTTCAAGTTTCCTGTCTTCATGGCACAGCATGCGGGGCCCTCACAGTAATTTCAGAGTTATGGAAACGAGCATCAAAGCCTAGCTTGTGGGCTCCATGGGTGGCCGTCCTAGTCTCCCAGTCCTGAATGCGTTCCAGCGTTGGCATCCAGCTGGCTGCCAGATGGCAATTCTGGAGGCAAACCCAATCGCCTCAAGGCACCCGGAGAAAGGATCCCAGAGAAGGACCCGCGACTCCGGCTCGCCGCCCTTGCCTGTCTCTTGGCCATGCTTGATCAGGGCTTCAGCCTGAGCGCCAAAGGAGAGCAGACAAAAAGCTTCAGAGGCCCGGCGGGGGTCCGGGGGCCGGCGGGCCTTCTGACCTTGACCTTGCCCCAGGGAGATGAAGTGCAGCCGCTCCTCTCCGAGTTCAAAGCAGTAAGCAGGGAGAAGCCTGAGCCTGCAAAGAAAGAGTCCTCGTACTCGAAATCCTTAGCAAGCTTCACCAGGTAGTCTGTTGGGTCAGCGCCGGCAGACCTGGGCTCTCCCGCGTGACAACTTGGGATCACGTGGAGAGCCAAGACGAGACGTAGCATTTGTCAGTTGGCTACCCAATTTGGGGGACTCTTCTGGGCTCGATTCAAGCACTAAGGCTAGGCAGGTCAATGCAGATCCGAGCGCAGAAAAGCAACAGAGGCGCAAGCAAAACAAAGATTAGGGGCATGGTCTTCTTGGAGTCCTTCGCAAGCCGTCTGGTTCATAGCTCATGCATCAAGGCTTCAGCTAGTCTGACTTCTGCATGGGTCTCTGTGCCCCTTTTGGAAGCTGTGGGCAAAAACGCTCCTTGAAACAGCCAACGAGGTCGAAGTCGGGGGAGACTGTGTAGTGCTTTCCCAGCTCTGCTCCGACAAAGTTTCGCACGACCTCAGCGACACGCTGCGACGCTCTGCGGCGGCTGGCCTCTCGTTTGGAGCCCCCGAAGCAGTGCTCTGCTCGTCTGTCATTCTGATGCCCGCGGCATCCGTGCTGGCAGTGCACCGCTGGAGCGGGAGGTCCAGGCATGCGGGGCGGTGCCAATGCGCAGCTCTTCGGAGCCCCCTCTTCGAGCCATGCTTCCCCTTTTTTGTGCATTCCATCTCGGCTCCAACGGCGATCGGGATGAAAGCTCTGCCGCCTTCGCAGCCTTTAGAGTCGCTGCACGGCACACGGCTTTGCGCTTGCTCGAACTATGACACCTAGAAGCTCCAGCTAACCTGTGCCATCATGTACCACAGACTCCACAACGGTATGCTTGCTTTGCTGTCTTGCTCAGGCAAACACCAGCTGCAGGAAGTTCTCCCGAAGCGACCTAGCAACAGAAAGGGTGTTACATAAAGTGTTCCGGCATTCGCAGACCGATTTGCTTTTCGGCGGAGGTGAAAAGGCCTAAAGTCTCTTAAGCCTCTTCTCACTCGTGTGCTTGCGCCCGAGATGTTCCCTCTTGAAGTGTGGTGCCCTCAGCCGACAGATGCGCTGTGAGTGCACCGGAGCCGAGAGCAGCGCTTGATGACAAGCAGCCTGAGATCTCACAAAGTTAAAGCCGCCCGCACAAGAGAAGATCGCTAAAGCTGCAAGAGAACGTGTGTCTTTGCCTCAGCCCTAACTTCAACCCCACATGTCGACTATGCAGACAGTCAGAAGAGCTGTGCTTGCAAAGACCTTTGGCACGAAGTGGCTGCTGGAAGGGTGTCAGCTTCTCTGCCCACATGCCTCACAGAATCTGCGGCGTCAACATGAGCAAGGGTCTGGGTGCACATGTACTGCCACTCACTGCTTCGAGTCTTCCCGCGGAACGGCAATTAAGCTTGGGTAGTGCCTGGCAGGCTCCGGCCAGCCATGTGATCGTCCGTGCCGAAGTTCTCCCACCTTTGCGTGAGCCAAGCCAGGGCTTTTGGCTTTTGGGATCTTTTCCCGACTCCGGCCCAGCAAAACCTGAACCTGCGCAGATCTTGTCCTGCAACACGCTTTTATACACTTACATGGGGTGGCCCATCAGCGGCCTCGAATCGTTGCCTAGAAGTCCACGGCATGGAGGGAGGCTCCCGTCCACCCAACATTGTGTTGGGGAGTTCCAAGACATGTTTCGTCAGCGCTGCAAGCTTGAAGACACCTTTGACTGCCATTTCCCAACCGCCGTCAGAAGTCACAGTCTTTTCCTATGCAATGCCTCATGTAGGCTTAATCCGGATCTAGAAATCTAGAGTCAAGATGCGGGTCTCTGAGTCTTGAGGCCGCCACGCCGGTGTGAACATGTCCTTGGCCAAGCCTTGAAAGACCTGAGAATGTCAAAGCGGCGGCCCCAGCCCTGGCCCTTTGGGCCCCTGCCTCGCTGCCAGCTTTCAGAGTCAACTGCTCCAAGACCAGCATCTTCCTTAGACAAAACCATCCGAGTCTATCCGACTGCGCTGAAAAGTCGTCGACGAAAGCTGCCGACCTTCCTACTTGTTTCCATCACTCCGTCTGAGGAGTAGCTCTCTGTGAAGACATGCGCAGATTTTGCATTGCTCTCTTTTCAATCTCCTTGCTTTTGAATGCCAACAAGCTGCCGGTAGCTTTGTGCCGTCATCCAGGCAGGCCTCAACACTTCAAGGGCTTGGATGCCATCAGGCACTGACCGAATCCAAGCCTACGGGAACTCGATTTTCATTCAAAGCAAAGCCGTCTTGTGCTCGAGGCTTCGGGATGTCTAAACTAGAGTCTAAAAGCAGCCTTCAAGCCTCGACAAGCAGCGGATCTGGTGTCTATCAGCTGTAGACACGGAAGATGCCGATTCACGACGGCATCTGTGCCAAAACCGTGATCTTTGCATCTCCCTTTTCCTGACACCCCGGAAAGCCCGCCACACCACAACCCGCGTTCTTTTATGATGGTAGCTGCAGCTGGCCTTGACTGTTCCGGAACATTGTAAAACTCGATCACTCGCTACTGTAGAATGACAGAAGGACGCTGTACCTTGCTTCCTGCAATAATCCTGCTGGGCGAGCGACGGCTCAACTGCTTGCGTCAGTGTGTCATCGATAATGCCTTTGCCGGCCTCTGCAGATTCACGGAACACCGACGACGAAGACAACGGTGAGATCACGACAGCACTGATGATGACGATGTCCTTGATGCTGTGAAGATGCTGATCAGGGACACTTCCCAAAACAAATAACTGAGGATGCTGGGAAACCGAAGAGTCATAGGGAGGACGAGGAACGGCACCCTCAGGTCAATCTTGAAGACGCAGGCAAGAAGAGCGTTAGTACAGTCGGAGGGGATTTGGGGCTTGACATCAGCTCAGCTCAGACTTCTCTTGGGCTGTGGACCTCGAGGCCGCGTAGAAAGAAGCTCCACTCCTCGAGATTCTGAGACTTTACATGCCAAATGCCCATGGTGCCCATGGTGCCCTGGCGGCAGCTCGCAGTCAAGCCGGAGCCGGTGCCAGAGGCAGCTCAAACAGAAGGCTCCTATGCTGAGCACTTCCTGTCCTGCAGGGTGATGCGCTGCTTGTGCATGAACTGAGCATGGACCTGTGGGCAGCTTGGCACAAGCACTGGCAGGTCAGCAGGTCAGAACGGAAATGGCTGACCTCATGGCGCAGGCATCGGTTGCAGATCATGAAGGAATACAGCAGCTTGTGGTCCTGTTGGCATTCTTGTCTCTGGGCTGTTGGCGGGTGCCACGTAGGGAAGCAATGCGCAGAAGGACACAGGTTTCGGTTGCGGCCTGCTAAACTTGAGTACTTTCCTTTGCTTTATTCAGACTTGCTTCAAACCGTGGGCGAACTTCGTGAACACTCTGCGATGACGATGAAGATGGTGATTGTGTTGATGCTGATGCTTCTGATAACGATGATGATGATGGCAGCAGTGGTGGTTCCCGGCCATATTCTACCACCTCGTTTGTGACAATTGTGACATGCCGTTCCAGACGGCGTGTTCTGAGAACAAGATTGAAATTGCATGCGCGCATGGACATAGTACAGATATTGGTGAAAAAAAAGGAGAAATGAGAGGACACCTTCAAAATGATCCAGGTGCTGATGCTGAGCCCGAAACGAAGAGCGACCAAATAGCATGAACAGTATTGCAAATACCTAGGACTGGCAAATACATCAAAAGCACCATAGACACCGGCAACGCTGAAAGCAACCCACCAAGAACAAAAGTGTGCAAGCACTGAGTTCTTCACGCATGAGACAGCAGTAGCAGTAGCAGTAGCAGTAGCAGTAGCAGTAGCAGTAGCAGTAGCAGTAGCAGTAGCAGTAGTAGTAGTAGTAGTAGTAGTAGTAGTAGTAGTAGGAGTAGTAGGAGTAGTAGGAGTAGTAGTAGTAGTAGTAGTAGTAGTAGTAGTAGTAGTAGAGTACTAGTGGCAGTAGTAGTAGTAGTAGTAGTAGCAGCAGTAGCAGAGTAGTCGTAGCCGAAGTAGTAGCAGCAACAGCAGTGGGCGTAGCTTTGCCTTGTTGTTGGCAGATGCACCTGCTGCCACGCAAGCGATGTGGTGACTACTGCTGTATCTAGTCCTGCTGCTGCTGCTACTGCTGCTCTTGCTGATTCTTGCTGCTACTACTACTACTACTGCTACTAAGACTAATGCAACTACTACTACGACAACTACTGCTGCTACTGCTACGACGAGAAATCCCACCATCACCACCACCACCGCCACCACTACCACCACCACCACCATCAGCACGACTCCTGCCACCACGACACGACTACTACAGTACTACAGTACTACTACTACTACTACTACTACTACTACTACTACTACTACTACTACTACTACTACTACTACTACTACTATACTACTACTACTACTACTACTACAGTACTACTACTACTCCTGCTACTACTACTACTACAACTACAACTACTACTACTACTACTACTACGACGACGACTGCTGCTGCTACCGCTACCTCCTGCTGCTGCTGCTGCTACTGCTGCTGCTACTGCGACTGCTACTGATGCTGCTACCACTGCGACTGCAACTACTGCTACCAGTTAGAACAGTACGATTGGTAGTACCAGTGCTACTAATGTTCTAGTGGCTCGACTAGTGGTGGCTCTACGCGTGGTGGTTTTACAAGGGTTAGACTGGTCCTGGTACCAGTACTAGAATAGTATTGCTAGTACTACTGGTACTACAATCACTGGTTCTATGCGTACCACTACTGCTACGACGACTACTACGACGACTACTACGACGACGACGACTCCCACTCCCACTCCCACTCCCACTCCCACTCCCACTCCCACTCCTACTAGTACTCGTACTAGTACTAGTACTAGTACTACTACGACTACGACTACGACTACGACTACCACTACCACTACCATAGTACTAGTACTAGTACTAGTACTAGTACTACTACTACTACTAGTACTAGTACTAGTACTAGTACTACTACTAGTACTAGTACTAGTACTAGTACTCGTACTCGTACTAGTAGTAGTAGTAGTAGTAGTACTACTACTACTACTGCTACTACTGCTACTACTGCTACCACTGCTACTGCTGCTGCTGCTGCTGCTGCTCCACTACTTCTGCTGCTGCGGCTGCTACGGCGGCGGCGACGACGACGACCCAGTACGAGTACCAACACTTTAAAAGGTACCATTACTACGACGACGACTACCAAGACAACCACAAGAATAACGAGGATCACAACCACAAGAACAACAAAAAAAGACGACTGGGTCCGTCGGGTCCAAACGTTCTCGTGCTGCAGCGCTAACGACCCCGACACACGTGCCAACAGCAGCAAAGCACACTCGAGTCCTCGAACAAGCCCATGCAAATCTTTGTGTAGATGAACTGGGTGAAGTCCTCTCCGGAAGAATTGGCGAAAGAAGTCGTGATATCAACCGTCGGACAGGCTTCGAAGAGAAGGGCTTCCAAAGCAACCTGATCTCGGGAATGTTTTGGCAATTCTGGTCGGCCACATGGGGATTTGAACAAGATTACGAAGCCAGAGTGCCCGGGCTGTCACTTGCGAGCGTAGCGGTGTCTATGCATATGCTCACCGTTATCTTTGGCGATTGGAATGGGGACCAGCACACGCCTGTCCTGGATGATGATGTGGATGCGCCTGGCCAGTTGTCATTGGGGACAGGGGATCAGAAACTGGAACCCTGTACAAAGAAATTGAACCTCTCGGTCAGCCGCGCGAAAAAAACCAGAAGAACACGCACGCGCAGATTGACAATGAGAAATAGAAGGTATCCGGACCTTGGGTTGCCAAAATTCCTTGCGGTGCTCTTCTCGTTTGATTTTTTCGAACACGAAGGAACAAGAGGGGCTGGATTTGGAAGTTCAGGGGCTGCACATGAAGCAAACGCACGGAGGCATTGAGCCTGCAACACGCCCTCCAATCACTTCTTAAACCTTCCAAAGGCTTCACGGCAAAGCCTTCTGACCGATTTGTCGAAAACCATCGAATCAGAAAGTGCACAGCTCGACTTCACACTGTTTAGGGGTGTCTCAAAGATTTATCGCCTGTCCGAAAGCCTGCCACTGGCCCCTTAAGACTTGCAAATGCCTTCGATAGGCTGCACCGATAAGCAGAGTCCAACTAAAACATCGTCAACAAGGTACCCTCACGTCTGGGAACAAAGTGTAATAAAAGCACACCGTGCGCTTCATCGAGGGTGCCCTCACCGCGACTAACTGTGACTTGAGATGGGGTGCGGCCCCCGGCCCCGCTGCTGACGAAACAAGCTGAATGCATGGCCGGAGCACTCGCTGATGTCTTCTGCCGTCGGGCTGGCAGCCAGTCTCTGCTGAAAGAGGCTCGTGAAGAACTGCAAGCTGTACTGATACCTTCACCCGGTTCGGGGGTTGCTTCGCATGTCACCGAGCAGCACTGCTTTCTGCTGAAGCCGCCATGGACAAATGCATGCTACCCTGATCGAAGGCAGTCCGCGACCCTTTCTGGGAAACTGCTTTGCGATTAAGGGGAATAAACCCCTCCGATTCGGCAGGGACACATGGGGTCGATGTTGGCGAGGTCGGCCACCTTCAAAAGCGGAGCTTTCGACCAGAAAGGCATGTAACACCGACAAAAAGCAAGGGTTAGCCGCATGGCAACGGCCATGATGTGAGGAATGAGCAATATGTGGAACGTGGGCAGCGCCAGGGCTCAGGCGACGAAGTAAATGATCGAAGCCCTCGTCGCACAGGGCCTCAGGACTTCCGTCACCTGGCCACATAGCGCCAAGTGCTCTCCTATCTCGCTTCTTTGCAGCTTTAAGGCTCCTGCTAGTGGGAAGTATAGCAGTCGGGGACTGGGTGCCGTCCATTGTTGTGCCGGGCTAGTCCCTGCAGCGGGTCCCTCAGACAAGTCAACTTGCTTTGCCGGATTTCATCGAGATCCCTCGGAGCTGGCGGAGCTGATAGGCTGATCGTGTCAGGCCCTGAGCTGAAGCCCAGCCATGCTTGGAGGGGTGGATTTGGGCTGAGCTCGTACAGCACCCAAAACCCGAAACCGCCCCAAGCCATACACAGTGGAAATTTACGAGCTTCGGCAAGGTCTCAAACTGCGCTGTCTTGTGGCCTCCCAGAGCTAGCTTTGGCCTTTGTTGGGCTGTTTATCAGGGTTTATATAGGTTTTGAAAGGCTGCGGAAAACAACCCCGTTCCGTTTTCGACAGGCTCTACATGGAAGACGCAGGCCCCATTTTAGCACACCGCCGGCCCGCTGCACTTGACTTCGCTCAAACCCTTGTCAGCCAAAGAATAAACACCATGCATCTCCAAGCCACCTCGCAGCATGTCAAGGAGGAATGACGTTTCGGAAGCAAACTGCATGCTGTCAGGGTCATGCCAGTAAGAATTGAGACCCTCATGTGTCCCGTTTGGACCCTTTGAGCAGACGCCCTTCAAGTTGCACACTCTGCCATCCACACGCATGCCCTTCTTGTCAAACTCTTTCAACCGCGCCAGACTCTTCTTGATATACGTGATGTGGCAGCAATGCCTCAGCAAGGGACGAACTAAAGAGGTGGGCAAGGTGATATTCTGTGCGTTTCGGGATCTAATCAATTTGAAGTAGTGGGTTCTGCATTGCGGTCTTTCAGAGTACAGATCACAGAGGGAGTATGCGACATATTCAAGTCGTGGAAATCATTCATCACTTTTTCTGAAGGACGACCCGACTAAAACCTGCGGTGTCGAAATGGAGTTCGCGCAAGACGGCCCTTCATTGCCTTCCATGACACGGAAGCTCGGCAGGTCGTCCAATACATGTCTTCATAGCATAACCAATAATGCGGAAGCACTGAAGTGCGGAGTCCCCAATGAAGAACAAGTTTTGCCCCGAGTTTTCATGAGATTCCCGAAAAGGGACCCACAACTTTGGCGACCCCCCACCATCGGCGGCCCGGCCGAGGCGGTCAGAGGTTCCCCCAAAGATTTGCTGTTTCCCCCCCCCCCCCCCCCCTCACCTGCTCCAACCCGCCCCGCCACCCACCCCCACTCCCAATTCACCATTCCCTCGTCGCTTCCTTGCGGCGAGGCAAGACAGGCTAGCTTACGTCATTCGTGAAGTTGATGTCAAAGCCTGGGAATTCTGGGGCTCTTGTACATTGCTGCAAAGCTTGATTCCCCATGCCCCTTCCAACATTAGTGAGAAGTGTAAGCCGCTTTTTATAATAACGGCTACAGGATGGCAAGGAATGCGCCACCTTTCGCGTGGGATTGTTGCTCACAGCATCAGCATCAAAACACATACTAACATTTAAGACACTTTGAAGAACGTGCACTCATTCAGCCAAGACCTCACCTGCGTGACCTACCTGTTGATTTCCGAAACAGCGAACCTGCTTCAAGTACGGCCGGGCCGAGGCGGACGACGCGAAGCGTTAAATATGAACCATTCCAATCTCGAACGGCGCGGTAGATTTACAGCATTACACTATCTTGACCGACCTCGTTGCAACTGCTGTTTAAAGCGTTGTCACAAGAGCCTGTTGAGGTCAGGCGCTGAGGATCATCAAACACATCACGCGGGTACACAATGCCCGCCCAGTGCAACTGACCATTCCATTCTGAACGCAGCACCAAGTCCCAATCCAATGGATAGTATGTCGTCAATGTCTTGCGGAAGTAATCGCTTTCAATCCTGGACATCAGCGTCGCTGCCCGTTCGAATCCTCGACGCGAACCGCCAAAGACACGGTCGCTGTTGGCAAAGAAAACCTCATCCAAGTTGGCACCATACTTTGTGGTGGCCGCCTGACGGCTGACACGCTTGTAGTTGTCCATTTGACGTATCACTTTCTCCAAAACCCTATGCTAATTCTGTCAGATATTACGTTGCAGTGCTGCTTCAAGCAGCAACAGCAGCAGCAGCAGCGAGCAGCAGCAGCAGCAGCAGCAGCAGCACCAGCAGCAGCAGCGGTGGTAGTAGTAGTAGGAGCAGCGGCCGAGCCAAGGATGGTCCATGATGGCAAGGGCATCAGATCATGACCACAAACATGAATTTCAACGTGTGTGTCGCATCGAGGCTCCAAAGGATTCTGCCCGCCTCATACGTGCCCAAGCACGGGTAGCAGCCCCCACGCGTATCACAGTCTGTCCGCGTTTTGTAATAAAAGCTGTACCTGGCGCTGCACTTGGAACCCCGAGGAAAAATTGGGTAGTAATGTTGCACTTACTGTACTTCTCAGCACAAGCATGTCAATAAAACAAAAGTGTTCAAGGTCTCCAGAGGTACCTGAAGTCAAAGCGCTCCTCGTACTGCTGCACAAGCCTCCAGCACTGCTGCAAGCGCCACCATTGTATGGACTTCTGGCCCGGCGGCGTGCCAGGCTCATGATATCGCATAGGCTGATCGATGTTCTTCAAATCCGCCTGGTCGGGGGCCACCAAGCATCATTACTCCCAGAACAACAAAGCCCTCAATATCATGAAATCCTGAACCCCTTTGAATCCCTCACCCTGAGACCTCGGCGACCTCGACCCTGCCATGAGGTTGCAAGGCCCACTCCACGGTCTTTATCATAAGGATTATGCTATATTGTGGTCTATCTTGGGGTATTGGGAACACTCTCTCACGCCCGCCACCTGGAAACCTGAACCCTAAATCCTGCTGAAGAGGGTGAAACGAATAACATTATGATTCCCTTTATGATCCCTCCACAATGAAAGTGTTGTGTGCAATCCCAGCACACGTTATGATCACCCCTCCAACTGCAACGAAAACCTTGCTGCGGGGATCATTCTTTTGACAACCTGCCTTGTACCCCCCGTCATCCTCCGCTGTCCTGAAGTCCATTAAGCCTATGGTACAAGATCTCGTCACAGCGTTGAAAATGAGACACCTGTGTACTTGAGACTACTGTCTCCCTCGAGCATGACTACATCCCAAATCCCTGCTCGCGTCCTGTACAGCACGAGGTTGCTAAAGTTCCGAAAATGCTCCTCAATGCGGTCCTCATGATCAGGTTATGTGAGCGCAAGGATGAACTCTTGCTCCCGCAAGACGAAGAACCGATAATGCCACTTATTCGGATCGCCACCCTAGTTCCTATAAGCCCCTATGAAGATCATAATCTACCTCATTTACACAGGGTTTGGGGTTCGGTCGGGCTGTACACAGTGAGGTTATATGATAATATAGTCTCCGAGGCCCAGGAGGTTCGGGGAACACTAAGCTACCCAAAGTTGTAACTACAGTTACGGTAGAAAGTTTCGAGATTCCCTCAGCCTCCGAGCCCCAGGGGTCATGTAGGGTTTCAGGCTCAGGGATCAGGGGCTTTGTCCTCCTGGTCAGCACATACAAAGAGATCTGCGCCTGCTGTAACCGCCTTCATTTGAGCCTTGGCTTTGTCATCGAAAGTCTTGCGGTCGCTGCCGCGAATTTTGCCAGAAATAATACCTAAACTGAGCATCTTGATCTTCGGGGTTTTCGTACAGCTTCAACAGCTTCACAGACTTACGATTACCGGCACCAGAAAGCAAGACTTGTTTCCATTTTCGCCAGAGGTGCATGCAACTTTATGTCCGGAAGGGCTGAGGACTGGGTACAAACCTGTTCGATTGTGCTCAGCAATCGTCAGGTTTTTGGATAACGAGCGAAGTTCGTGCATCTCGATCCCACCTCGCAGCATGTCAAGGAGGAAAGATACCTCGGAATCGAAGGACACCCTGTCCGGAGCGTACCTGTAAGAGCTGAGACCCTCATGCGTGCCATTCGGCCCCCGTGAACACTCGCCGTTCAAGTTGCACACTTTGCCATCCACGCGCATGCCATTCTTATCAAACTCTTTAAATTTTGCCAGCTTCTTCTCCAGATCCTGATGACTGCAGCAGTGCCTCAGCAAGGAAGGGCCATCAAGTCAGAGATCGAATCAGGAGAGTGCACTTTTGTGATGTTTGTACACCTGCTCATGGGTAATAAGCAGGTTCCATCTTCTATCGCAAATCTTGCCGGGTCAGCCTCAATGTAATGAAGATCCACAGAGTAAGTGTTAGTTTGCCCTGACAGTGGTAGGGTTTTCGGATGAAAGTGTTTAGGGACTAGGATTCCTGCACTTCGCGACAAGGCGTGTGCTCGTTTGGGCGCCGAGTGTGTACCGAGCACCATCTCCTATGATAAGGCTGCCTGCGTCCTCAGAACCTGGTTGGACCTGGGAACCTGGCCTGCAAGATGCAGCAGGTCCGTTCAGGCAAGACGCTGAGGATCATCAAACACATCACGCGGGTACACAATGCCCGCCCAGTGCAACTGACCATTCCATTCTGAACGCAGCACCAAGTCCCAATCCAATGGATAGTATGTCGTCAATGTCTTGCGGAAGTAATCGCTTTCAATCCTGGACATCAGCGTCGCTGCCCGTTCGAATCCTCGACGCGAGCCGCCGAAGACATGGTCGCTGTTGGCAAAGAAGACATTGTCCAATCCAGCGCCATGCTTGTTGAGTGCCGCCTACAGATTGCGGCAGAAGCTGCTGCTTTGGCTTCAGGGTCTTGTGTTTGCCTGTTGTTCAAACATGACATGTGAGCATGGAACTCAGCCTTGCACATGGCTTTGTGAAGACCGGCCTTGTATGTGTCTAAGCATGGATAGCATGCATTGTATCTGGCACAGTCGGGTTGTGTTTTCATGTAGAAGCTGTACCTGAAGTGGTGGCGTTCCTCGTGCTCTTGTACGAGTTTCCAACACTGTTGCAAACGCCACCACTGTGCCATAGTAACATTAACTCCTTTCAGATCGGACCGGTCGCCGCCATCCGCACCTGATGTTCTGTAGGACACCAGGTTGGAGAAGTTTGCAAGTTCCATCGCGCCAGCATCTTCCGGATCGGTGCAGACAAAGAGATCAGCTTGGGCAGTCACATCTGCCATGTAACCCTGAATTCCGCCGACCTCGCCTGCACGGGTTCTGCCAGTGATCAAGCATGCAACAATATGCCCGGTTGGGCTGCTGGTACGTCTTCGCAGCTTGTCAGCAGCTGAAACATTTCGCAAATCGCCTGGGTATATCGACCAGCTCTGCACACACCCACCCCCACACCCACAAACACATATGTATATATATATATATGCTAACCCCCCCCGAAGAACTACCGCGGAGGTGCCGCGATAATGCCAGCAATCCTCGTAGGTTTAGGCTTCTATTTATGATCCAGGCTTAGTGTTAGATTTTGAGGTTCGGAGGGGACAGCATATGTATATCGGCAGCCGCCTTCAGTCTCAATTGTTGTGACCCTTCTCACAGATACTCTGGCATATGATTTCCCAACGATGAAAGTCCTGTCTGTCGGAATACCCGAAGCTCAATACGGGCACGAGCCTTAGCTCCCTACGTAGCCTTCACTACAGTTTCAAATCCAAGCCCCAGCAATACGTATGAATGACCGTGAGCATTGACTGACTCCTATTCCTAAACAACAACATCCTAAGACTATCCCTGCCATTAGACCTTACATGGGCGCCGATGGTGACAGTAGTCTTCCACTTCATGCCCACCCACAAATGGTGCACGTCTTAGTTCGAATGGATTAACATGATATGTCGACTTGAAACCCCAAAATGTATACATCCCCATATCAACTCTCATGCCTAGCTGATGGTTAATACAAGGTTAATACAATCACATACATCAGCTAGACAGGTCCCCTGATAGTAATGATATTGCCGTCCCCCCAAGATGGACCTTACTCGCGAACTTAATATTGCCCATAAGCTGTTCCTTGTGCCGGATACTTCCTTCAACTGCAACCCCCAGAATGGCCATTGGCCTCATCAACAAGTTAGTGCATCCAGATGTAGTTGTGGGTTCCCATTCAAGTCTCCGAAGTTAGAAGCCATGGCATCCCCATTTCTAGTTGCTGTTAATATTAATACATGTAAGCTAAGTACTGCCCAAACATTTGCTTCAACGGTTGCCGTCAAATTCATGCTAATATTAAACTAAGCACGAAACGGATTCCATTAAGAACCGCGATCTTTGCTGTCTTCGCTCTGGTGTTCCCCAAAGGATGGCCCTTAGATTTTTAGGCGTTATACCATTATTTGTTTGTTTACCTCAACATATAGTACATGGCGCCCCCTTCCTCACTGTCAGACTTGCTGTCGGACTTGCCCGTTTGCGGTATGTACATTTATGTGTCTATATACACATAAATGTAAAGAACCAGGTTAAACCTGTATTAGGTACCAACATAGTGACGAAGATCATTAGCTGACTCCTGCTTCCAAACAACATCAACCCTAAACATATCCTTGTCATTCGCGGTTATGTCAATGGTGACCGTAATGTTCGCCATGACAGCCGCCCTAAGGCCATCCATGGTAGGCTTAGTACCACACAGAATTTGACCCCGATAGTTAATATTTAATTTACAACTGATAGTTAATATTTAATTTACAACTTCAGTCAGCTAGAAAGCATCAAGCCATAGCTGTGATAACCGGCTCCCTATCGACCCCAAAGTTGACCCGAATATTGTCTTGGTTACTGCCCAGTATATTGTAAAGTATTAATGTTGGCGGAATCGCATCCCAGTAATAAGAATACTCTAAGCTTAAAGGCAACACTTGTTCGTAACGCGCGCAAACAAATGAAAGGCACACTCCTCCTTAGAAAACCGTGTTTTTGGAGTGAAAAACGAGCTTTTTCCTAGGAAAAACATGGTTTAGACGTGAAAAACCAATTATTTCCTAGGAAAAAAAAGGTTTTGGAGGGGAAAACCAACTTTTTCCTAGTGAAACTCAAAAAAACACAAAAAACAATTTTTCGGGGAAACTATACGGCCGAACTCCAAAAGGATTGTTTTTTTTGTTTTCCCTAGGAAAAAGATGGTTTTGGTTGGAAAAACCAACTTTTTCCTAGGAAAAAGATGGTTTTGGTGTGAAAAACAAACTTTTCCCTAGGAAAAAGATGGTTTTGGAGTGAAAAACCAACTTTTTCCTAGGAAAAAAATGGTTTTGGAGTGAAAAACTAATTTTTTCCTAGGAAAAAAATGGTTTTGGAGTGAAAAACAAACTTTTTCCTAGGTAAAAGATTGTTTTGGTGTGAAAAACCAACTTTTTCCTAGGAAAACAAAAAAACAATCTTTCTGGAGTCCGGCCGAATAGTTTCCCAAAAAATGTTTTTTTTGTTTTTCCCTAGGGAAAGTTTGTTTTCACACCAAAACCATCTTTTCCCTAGGAAAAAGTTGGTTAGCACAGTGTTGCTGTGCAGCGTGTGCTCACGTCGAAACGTCGAACTTGAACGAGCTGACTGATACGTTCTCTTGAAATGTGAGTTTGATTTCGGTAGTCTTTGAGAAATACTGAATCCGGACTTCACGTCAAACCTGAGCGAGTTGACTGACACGTTCTCTTGAAATGTGACTTTGATTTCGGTAGTCTATGAGAGATACGGAATCCTGACCTTCCGGAAAAGCTGGTTTGGCGCGGTATTTACGATACAAAAAACGAGGGTAGGTAGTTCTTGGGGGGGGTTACCATATATATATATATATGATATTATATATATATACAGACACTAACATGTGTATCTATCGGGAGACCCCCAAGGGTCCCACTGGCCACTACGTCTGCCCATCGCTTAGGGGCCCCTGGCTAACGAAGACATCGTGTCGTCCAGTAAGTCAGCCTTCATCTTCCGTCGAAACTACACTGGAGTTACCACAGCTCTATGTCAAAGCACGCGATAAGTTCTTACGATCCTACCAAAAAAAGCTTGCGATGCATAAAAGGGACCGCAGCACTTACAGCTTTGCCACAAGGAAGCTGCATAGTTGAACCGCCAATCTTGGATCCTATCCCCGACTCTGAACCCGGTAGTCGCGGTAATCACTGTTATTCTCCTGTCTAATTTTGCACTTATTGTTGCTGCAAGCTTGGTACAGCACTAACTGACAGAGTGCCCAGTCGACCGTGACGGAAGATTGAGCCCATCCAGCCCATGGGCCAAAACACAAAGGCCAGCAGAATCCATGATGCGCAAGCAACCTGGGATTGGGACATGTTTATGGCTTGGATTCAGGATTTAGTTTTGGCTCAAGCCAACAAGTAAATCAGCTTGGCTTGTTTGTGCTATGGAAGCCGGAAATTACTCAGGTTGCTACAGCACCCATGCACTGTAAGGCAAGCTGACAGGTGTCCCAATTCAACATCCGAGCAGCGGCGTGAGAGAAGTTCATGTCGCCAGTCGCAGCCCCACGCACGCCGAGAGCAACCGTCAACTCTAAAGCGACTTCCTAAAATCCTTCACTTCGAAGCTCTAAACCAGTCTACGTTCGATTCACCTAGACCCATGCCACCAAATATTACAGGCTGACATAGGCTGACCACATTCGCACTGTTTGCCGGCATCGTTGCCCATATTTTCCCGTGGGCTCCACATGTATTAGGCCAGGGAATTCTGCAGATACAACCATGGGTAAGCATGGAAGGAGTTGCAAAGTTTGGGCCATCTCGAACATCACCTGCGGCCACCCTCCAGCAGAGGGCCGCAAATGTCATGTCGGTGCTCAGGGCAACGCGCATCAAAACATGGTTCACTCTATATATAGTCTCATGACCCTCAAGACAACCAACCGTTTCCAACGCAGGACCAGTGGAACCTCAAAGCACAATGCGGACGCCCGAACTCCTTCAGGAAATGCTATGCCTCTCCACCCGAAACCGCTTGAAGACCGCTCAAGGCAGCACCTGAAAGTTAAGGCTTGGGGCCTGTAACGGCCCCCTCCCCCCTCTCCCTCCCAACAAAATATCGGTATGTCGGAGAGGGCTTTGCTGTGGTGAGGCTTCCGTTTTGACAGGCCTCCTGCAATACAAGTCTGACATTCTTGCATCTCAAGCCTCTCTCCTCTTTGGTCTTTCTTGGAGAAAGCACTAGCACTCGAGGGAAGCGGTTCAAGCCTCATCGATCTCCTTCATACTCAGCTCGGCTGAGACCATTCGCTCCTGCCACAGCGGTCCGATTCGCAACAGAAAGCCGCACGTGGCCACTGCACGCGGCAGGTCGCCAGGTCCTTGCAACCATCCCCGGTCTTCTTCGACCTCAAGGGCCATCAAACACTGCTTACCCAAGTCGCACATACACACACTGCAAGGCTTGCTCAGAACACAAGGTGGCCAGCAGGGGTACGGGGCAGGCAGGGTGGCGGGCAGGGGCAGGGGCAGGGGCAGGTCCCGATTATCACTTTGGGGTATTCCACGAGACCATGTTGTCATGTTGTCCTAGCCGAGCCATGAATTTGAAATGTCCATGGTAGTAGACTGGCTGCTGCACCTTTCGAATCTACGCCTATGGGGAGGCTTCATTAGGTTCCGGCTGATCGAGGGTAACGATCAAGGTGTCGTCGGAGAGAAGATCGTCCCCAGCCTGCAGACTACCGGACCCGCAACGCTGCAGTAAAGGAAGGAAAGCGCGCGGGGGGGCCGCGAGGCTCTGCCTCGCTGAGCAGCTTCAAAATCAGCTGCTCCAGTCGGTCCATCTCGGCCTACCAGTGCCGGAGCTCAGGAGCGAAGAGTCGGTCTCTGGCCCCGCCCCGCGCCTTGTCTGCAGCGATCTGCACCACGAGCCCTGCGCGCAGCTCGGATAAGTCTGGGCGCCTGAGAGACCGCTGCCAAAACTTCTGACCACGTCTCAAGCTGTTGCTGGAGTTGACTGAAACCTCGATGCAAAACAACACTTCTGCCAAGGCCAGGGGCTTCTCTTGAAATTGCAGTGCAGTCTCTGCCCACATCGAGAAAGTGCACCAATTATCACCGAGAGAGGTGTCCTGCAGAAGTGATTCTTACACGGCTACGGCACCTCGGCGGTCAAAACCAATCGCTGCAGATGCGGAGATCAGAACACGGAGAGCCCGACGGAGAGCAGGTTGGAGGCATCCCCAAGTCCATGTTCGTGCATTCGTGCTCGTCTCGAACTTGGGCTTTCACCTGGCCTCGGCAAAAGCGCCTCCAACTGGCTCACAGCCTCCAGACTCCAGCCATCGCACGATCGCACGTCTCTCTCGTCCAGCGATGTGTGCACGGCAAGCTTCAAAGCGAAGACGCCGTGGGGCCGAGGAGCATATCATTCCCAAGCCTCTGCACTTCGGTGCGTTGATGTGTGTGGTGATGCCTCGCGGCGTCAGCGTGTCCTCGCTGAGAGCGTGTCGTCACGTCAGCGGTGTCAGGGGTGTGGTGCGGCTGTTGTCTCTTTTGTGAAGGAGCGGCGCCTGAGCGGCCCAAGAGCTGCGGCCGGGGGCGGAACCGCGTGGAGCGCAGCGGCAGCTTTTGGTTTTCTCCTTCTCTCGGTGTGAAACTGGGCTGAAGGATCCTCTGGGGCAGGCGCTCGTTCTTCACAACCTCCGCCACGAGCTGATCCTGCAGAGAATTCTATAGAACTGGGGAGGCCAGGCCCACTAAGTTAATCCTAGGGCGGCACGTTGTGCAGGGCGGAGTTCATTACGCCTACAAGGTGCAGACGGGTACGGGAGCTCGGGGCGAGGTTGTGGCATGAGCCTTCGCAAATCTGCTCCAGCACTACGAGCTGCACACTTGCACTCCCCCCTGCCACCTCCAGGCCCAGCAGTGTCACCGTGAAGTTGATGACAGTTACCTGATATCAAAAACAAGAATTCTGGGCTGCCCAGAAGAACTTCATGCTGTTCCGGCATTTGGGAGGGACCTCCGCAACATGTTCCAAGACTTTCTGCCCATGCTCAGCGCGCCTTGATGCAGATCTCGGGGAGGTAGTGCGGATTGGCCATTTTCGTGGTTACGAAGAACTGGAAGCTCTCATTGTAAGGCCTGTGATCTCCAGATCGTGCAGAAGTATGGCACAGTGTTGTGCACCGATTCTGAGCTGGATGATGCTGGATGCATTGCTAGACTGTGCTACGTAGACATCATCAGTCGTGTCCATGCAGCACAAAGCCTAGCAAGGCCAAGCAAGCAGCACACTCAACTGATAAGAACACCCGAGGCCGGATGTATCGTCTGAGTGCGGAACACATCCTCACTGCCTAGTCGTAGCAGAAGCTGGCCGCCCTTTTTGAAGACCTCCAGTGTCGCGCCAGCTTTGAGCCCATGCGCAGAACCAGGTTGCAAGGTCGTTGAAGCACTGATTGCGCTTGCTTGTGCAGGGGACAGGGGCTTCCTAGTGTATCGAGGTGGTGCGTCAGCTCAATTTATTCCCAAAGCTGCTCACTTCGAGGAGAAAAGCCTGCCTGCTTGAGGAGCACAGGCTCCAAGGAAGGATCCAGCACCTCACAGTCAAATTCATATCGGTGCAAGCGCCTAAGAAGACCTGCCGCAACCAAAGAGCCCCGTGCCCAGTTGCAACCCTCCGCACTTCCGGAAGTAGGTGATACTAGCAGCACGAGCAGGTTTTACATGAACCTCCCTGCATCATGCGAGGCCTCCTCAACGTTTTCCAACAGGATCGCGTTGCCTGTCAGGCACCCAGGGACACTACGGTTACAGGTGACTGATGCTTGGTCTGGAACCTCCATTCTTCTTTGCCGTGCCTTCTCGGATACAGGTCTCCACCGTTCGCAGGAAGTTGGGAGTGCTGAGCTTGATGATGCCCAAACCACTGTCCTGCGCTGCTCTCAGTCACCAGGACATCGCGGTGTCTGACGAGAGTGAGCCGTCACTTTGAGTTTACACCATCCACAGGCGGAAATACCGAAGAAGCTTTTGCTTTTGCTTTTTCCACCGGCTCTCAAAGCAACCCGGACCCGTGGACCTCTCGGCTCCGCCCTGTCTCCCGTGGCATCCCGTGGCGTGGCCTTCTTCATGTTACGAATCCAGCGGTTTCCTTGGCCCTGTGGATCAATCATCAGCGGCCATCGGCGACCTGGCCCGAACATGAATCTCAGCGGGGCCTAGGATACGGTGTTGTCAACTTCTCGCTTTTTTGGCATACTTTGTAAGTCGTGCGGACCCAGGGAGTTTCGACATGGAACTACTTTGCCAGAGGGGCCGATGCGGCCTAGTAGTAGCAGTAGCCTTAGCAGTAGCTGTAGCAGTAGTAGCAGTAGTAGTAGTAGTAGTAGTCGTAGTAGTCGGAGTAGGAGTAGGAGTAGGAGTAGAAGTGGGAGTAGGAGTAGTAGTAGGAGTAGTAGTAGTAGTAGTAGTAGTAGTAGTAGTAGTAGTAGTAGTAGTAGTAGTAGTAGTAGTAGTAGTAGTAGTAGTAGTAAGTAAGAACACTACTACTACTACTACTACTACTACTACTACTACTACTACTACTACTACTACTACTACTACTACTACTACTACTATACTACTACTACTACTACTACTACTACTACTACTACTACTACTACTACTACTACTACTACTACTACTAGTTGTATGTCGTAGCAGTAGTAGCAGCGGTAGTCGTCGTAGTAGTCGTGTTAGTGGTAGTGGCAGTGGTCGTCGTGTTGCAGCAGGAGCAATTTGGACATGTGCACCTCATGACTTTGTGCTTTAAGTAATTAAGTACGTCGTGAGCTTGGTTCAGCCTCGCGTCACCAGGATGCCGTTCTCCACAGAAAGGTCGTCAGCTGGCAAGGACCTGGGAGGGAGACCCTGAATTCGAACACCTCCTGAGAATCTCGCTTGCAAGTTGACAAATGTCGTTAAGCCCTGTGAGTGACAGTGAGACATGTCGTGATTCCGTGTGCTCGCGGCAAATTCCTGAAGCTCCAGCATTAGTTCAAGAGCTGAAAAGAGGCTTTGCTGTCGGATTGAGGAGAGAGTTCGAAGTGATGATAGGATGTGTGGACTCCGGCTTCGGCCAGGGTCTGAATCGGGTCCAAAAGCAACAACTACTGCAACAACTTACTTGTGATATAACAGACTTCAGCAACATGTCTCATTCCGCACACAAATTACTTCAATCGTAACAGGCCGAAGCAACCGAATACCCAAGGCCCTCAGCCATTTCTCATGCTTATGCCTCCTCAGTTCGGCCGAGTTGAACCACAGCCGAATGCGAGAAGGATGCTCAGAATCCAAACGAGAAGGAGTTGCCGAGCAGCTTGATGTTCCACTCTCGAATCTCTGCAGGCTCGCAAAGAGTGTCCGAACACCTGTCAAGCTGCGTCCGTTGGAGCTTGTGTCGGACCAGGCAGAGTTTCTAGGCAGACAGCCCCATGGAGAGCTTGAAGCACACAAAGCCAGAGATAGAGACAGACAGACACAGGGACGGACACAAACAGAGACAGAAACACGCGCACGCACACACACACACACACACACACACACACACACACACACACACACACACACACACACACACACACACACACACACACACACACACACACACACACACACACACACACACACACACACACACACACACACACGCACACGCTCGTGCATAGTCAGCTGCTCTGCAGCTGGGTCTTGGTCTCTAGGCATATTTATCATGTGAATTGGGGCGACGAAGGCCAGTCATTGAGAAATGCGGATTTGCTATTGGGTTTGCAGCTGCCAGCCTAAGAGGAGACAAGTGTTGGCGTTTCGCACCGAAAGGCTTCGCTATGGCAGGACGGGCAATAAGCGAGAGCGGTAACTATACTGGAGCACTCACGCAGAATCATCATCATCGTCATCATCATCATCATCAGGAATCATTGCGGCAGGGCCAGTAGGCACACAGATGCTTCTGAGAAGCTGAATTGCAGACATGCATCATGTAATGTAGAACGGGGCACGAATGCAAGCCAAGAAAACCTCTGTTTGAAGTCGGTTTCCCACTTCGAGTGACTTCGAACACCTTAGTCAGCCCTTGGAAATTTGTCTTGTGCACCGCACAATGACCAACCAAACCTCGATTGTGGCCTCCTGATAGGACTGGGCAGACCCGAACACCAAAACAAACAACATTTCCCACTCGACACGACAGCCCACTGCAAAGGATGGCATTCGGACTGCCCGTAGTGCATGTGCAGTGTACGAGTAGCTGCGCAAATTCGGGGCCCTTGATGGTAGCCTGTTACAGAAGGAAGACCGCCTGCGGAAAAAAAACAGTCCAAACCCTTCTTGGACTGCGGCTTCCAAGCGGGGTCTGCGGTCAAATTCACCTGGCCATGGCGGCCATGGTGAGGGGCTACTGGCTAATGAGCAGGCAGAGCTCTCTGGCCATCTTCGAAAGTTCAAGCATGTTCAAGCAAAACTGAGTGCTCCTGCTGTTTCCGAGAGCCCATGTCAGTGAGGACGGGGTGGCAGAAGGGGCTGAGAGATGGCTCTCGATGTCGCAAGACATCGACAACTATCCGCTCTGAGAGGCCTCCTTCGCCTTTTCGAGCCAATGGGCGATCAGCCTCGGAAACGCGGCCACACGCATCGCCGCATCGTGTTTGCAACGAGCTGTTCAAAGCTTCCTCCTCCGCTGGGCCCCGGGCGTGCCCCGGAAGGAGGCTGTGAAGGGCCCGGCATAGGCAATGAAGCCCGCGGCCAGGGCGATGTCGCCTTCGGAGCAGGGGTGGCTGTTGGCCCTCACAGCGGGAAGGACCCAAGCATCGACTTATCTTTGCGGGTTGGCTCGAATCTCTTCATGCTACTACATTGCTTTGCTCAGTTTACTGAGGTCAGCATCGGAGCGACTCGTCCAAGTTCTGCTTCCTGTCGACTTTGATGGCTGGGTTCTAATTGCAGCGCACTTCTCCGAAGCCGCTATGGCACGGCACTCTGGCAGCGGCCGACTTCACCAAAAGGACCGGGGAAGCAGCCCATCACGAATTTGATGTTCTTCTCCAGGACTTGGCTAGCAGCATCCCAGCGCACAGACCTTCGCACAAAGGTCCGGAGCTAACCGCGTAACAGAGACCTGCAGCCGCAGGCAGGACTCTGCAAAAAAAACTCGCTGCAGCGAGGCCCTGGCTCGTTGCCCAATCCGGACAGCAGCTTCTCCGCTCGGGTTAGCTGGACCTTTCCAACATTGGAGCTGAAAACCGGGCTTCGGCTCTAGAATCTTGCGATCTTGCGAGATGACGAGAAGCCCGGATTGGCGGCCTTGCAGGTCTCAGCGTCTTGCTCGAGCTTCTCCGCTTTGCTCCTTGCCCGCATGTCAGCTACAGTCACAGATGGCGTCACGATTACTTTGCTACAGTTTGTGCCTGGCTTTTGCGAGCTGCTGCTGCAGCGCAGCTACCTGGAAACAGCAAGAATGGCTCGTGACATCAACAGGCGATGCCGTGCAATCCGCTATCTCAGCAGCAGGCATTGTCTTGTACGACCTGGAGCTCCTCTGGTGCAATCTGGTGTAGAAAAAAGGGTTTGTAGCTGACATCCATTGGACTTGCACCTGCAGACCTGCAGTGTGCTTCTTAAATCCTCAAAAAGTTTTGGCTGCTCCCGTCCTTTTTTTTCGCCTGCAACTTTGCTTCCGCTGTCGCAAAGGCGTCCTTTTACACATGTAGTGCAGATGAGCTGCAGCCGCACTGGCCAATTTCTACCATCTGACTATGTGCAGTCACACCGGTGCACGGGAGCCGTAAAACGCTCCACCGCCTCTCTGTCTCCCTGTACCCAGCCTCGGCTCCTTTCAGTTTCTCCTTCTTCGGCTCGATGGAGCGAGCCACGCGCGCGTACCTGCTTCCAGATGCCCTTCTTTCAGGAATCCACGCGCGAGTACGCAGGTCCGTAGGCGTGGGTGACGTTTGCGAATACCAGAGCACTGATCATTGTGCGCGTTCTGATGCTAGCATGTTGCAGCCGTCGGATTGCCCTAAGGCACCGACACCGTGCATCCCAAGCCCTAACAACGCGTTACCCGAAAGCAGACCTTTAGGGCCTCTAAGCTTGGCCTTGCTACCAGCAGCTCTCAGCGCCGGACACGTCCATGGCCCGTACCCACATGCACAGCGACGTGGCTGCATTCGACACCTTCCGCACCTCAAGAGCAGCGGAGCAGCTTCTTTGGCTCGAAAGGCACGGCAACGTCACAGCATCTCAAGTTCAGCCTGATCTGGCTGAAAGTCTTCCCGCTTTACCTCGGCGCTAAAGGCAGCTCTTTGCTCAGGAAGTCTTGACGAAATGGGCATGCATGGGCAAGCTTCGTTGCAGTCGGCAGTGAAAGAGCTAAGAGGGTATCTAACATCCGATCTCGAGAGGCAGAGAGAGGTCAGAAATCCCGTGGAGCCTCAAAGCGTCCAAGCCCCAAAGGCTGAGACATACTTTTGGAGCTTCTGGGTCAGCTTCACATTCCCGGCCAAAGCGTCCTTGACAAGGCAATTGCGTGGGTGCCAAGAAGATATCATGTGAACAACCATGAACTACACTATCCAAAACCCTCTCCTTAAGACTGCTAATGGCAGGAGACCACGTCATGCTTCCTCCGAACATTGTAACCGCGCTGGCTCCATTATGATTCTGGTCGTTTGTAGCCTCTCTGGCTCTCTCTGTCCTCTCCCTGACTACTCACCACCACTACTCTTCGGGTCAGTAACGTGAATTTTGAAGCTTCTCAGGCGGTTTGGGTACGTGCTCGGCTTGCATGTTGTAGGACTGCCCATCCTCTCGTCTTCTCTTCTCTGACTTGCGAACCGTGACCACGACACTGCCGCTCATAATTTTGTTTTCCCCGCCTGTTAGTTGGCAAGACATTGTCTTTGCCCTAAGCGCATGAAGTACATAGTTAACGTGGGTATGCGAGCGCTGCCTCTGTCACAGGGTGAGCAAACCAAAATCACGCATGGGTCGGCTCGCAAATGCAAGTCGCCCACAGAGGGACAAGCCACCAAGACCACGATGAGAGTCTGAAAACTGTAACGAAGGACAGGATTTCGAAAAGCAAGAGTAGTAACTTCGGGCCTTGTCGTAATCCTTGAGAGACTGCAGGAAGCCCGTGTCGTTCATCACCTTCTTGGCCTGCCAAGAACTCTGGACCGAGAGAGTTTTCGTATGCTTCGTGCAGCTCTGGCTTTCCTGTCTGCTCGAGTGTGCCTCGTCCCAAGTCTCCTTCTTGTTCATGAGCAAACACACCTTCGGAGATGCCAGAACTTTCATGCGGCTGTAGCGGTGAACTCTGGCACGGTAGCTCTCGAAACTGTTTGCAGACGAAGAAGTCACAAAAAACGCTATGCTGCTGAGCTGTGACTGAGCCCTGGTCTGCACTGAGGACAACCTCCACCAAGGCAGGGGGCTTCGCGAAGGACTTCACCTGCCGTGCTCTTCCCGCGGGTCCGGCTGCCCTTAGAGCCCGAGCTGCGTTGCCAGGTGCCTCCTGGATGTCCTTCTTGTCCAAAGAGTCCAAGGCCTTAATGGCATCGTAGTACTCCGGCAGCGCCTGCGACCAAGTTGCTTAGCTTAAAAGCTACAAACCCCACCTGCGCGCCTGAACTCTACTGGCATTTCTCCGCCGGAGCACTTCTTTTTGCAGCAAATCTTCCGGTGAAAAAACCAAAGCACGGCTCCTCGTCCAGCTCCCTCTGGCACTCTGTCTTGATCGCATTTGCCGTGGCTGCAGCCTATAGGCACTTTCAACCCTCTCCACCACTCCAGCGTCTAGGCAAAGAATGCGCCACGGACCTCGCCGGCTTCCTTCTCGTCGATCTCACAGGCGGCCTGGGCTTCCTCTCCGTGGCGAAATGCAGGCGGCCAGGGAGAGGGAGTCGGGAGTGCCCCGCGCTTTTGTTGACTTTGTGTTCGTTTCGCACTTTCGCACACTTCTCTGTCCTTGGCAACAGCTTCCTCCTTGTCCACCTGCGGCTTTGGTTTTCAATGGTTTTCAAGTTCGGATGCCCGTGACTCGAACAAGACATTTGGGCTTCCAGCTTCTACCGCCACAGGGTTGCGTTAAGGGAACATTGCTTCGACTCATGGTGCTCTGGGCAAGCCGATCCTTCCAACCCCCCCGGCAACGCTTTTTCCTGCGCACCGGTTTGGCCAACAGATGCTCTGACTGCAAACGTAGCCGGCGAGACGGACGCCGGCACAGGGAGCTGTCTTTGCGAGGGTCGTTGCGACTCGTGCTGCAAGCACGGGTCGATCTCTTAAATACCTCAATCAAAAAACATGAAGCCATCACCTGTGATCGGGACCTATGGCATGCAGCCTCCATCTCCCGGGCGGCCCCTCAACTCCCGGACTTTGCACGGTGTGAGGTGCATCCCGCACAGGCAAGAACGTTTCATGCCAGTCAGCAGACTGACATTGGACATGTCTGAGGCTGTGAAGTGGTACTCGATGAAATTCCGGAAAATTCAACCATGTAAACATTAAACATCATTAAACATAGCTCGAATTCGAGAGGCGCAGATCTAGACACCTCACACTTGAAGACGTTAGATCACCAGATTGTTCTTTCCTGTTGCTTCAAGCCCCGACTGCTGCGTTAAAGTCGTGCGGGTGCGCGTGGCGGCTGGTCAAGCAGCCCGTGTCTGCTCATCGTATGAGGCTTGATTCAAGACAAGCTTGAATATTCAATGCCTGGCATCCTCGGCCACAGCCACGCATGCAAGATTGACAAGGTGCTTGAAAGCGGCATGGCAGACTCCTCATGCGAGGCTACAGTCGATGGCAGATTCCGAATGCGTTGCAACCAAAATAGGATCAAGCTGGGTTTGGTGTTTTCGACAGGGTTCAGTGTTGAGTTTTTTGGTAGGGCGCGTGATGCAGATGAAGCAAGCATAGCCAACAGCAACTCAGCACGCTACTATGTCAACAAGACTAGTCCCTCGAATCTTCTGCAAGTCTCTTGCCACACTAGCATCGTAAGGATCATGAAACGTGCACAGCTGTAGGCCCAAGACAGGAGAAGTTCACTGTATAGCACATGGCAAGATGCGGCCAACTGGACAAAGAATCGATGCCTACTAAGGCAGACCTGTTTCTCCAAGGCTAGAATCGCCTTCAAGAAGGGCTTGGTGTAGCAGTGCATGGGGCTGAGTCATGGTGAAATTGCTGCCAAGCTCACACTTTCACGCGCCGGGTGCACGGTGGCAGGACGTTCAGCACTCCATCGCGTGCTGTGGTGACACTGACGTGTACAACGGGGTTGAATGGGAGTCTTCAACTCCGTTGAAAGATCACAAACGGACATCGTCGTTGGTGTCTCAAACCGCGGGCCACGTACTCTTAACCAATCACCGGCCCTGGGCGTCGGCTTTTTATCTCAAGGAGAAACAGACTGGTTTCCGGAAACTGAGACGCAGTCTTTCGAAGATCTAGAGTCTGCATCCCAGGCTGAAGGCTTCTACCGGCTCTTCAGCCGTGGCTTTTTTAGCCCGTGACTCGCGTCCAAACGTCGCCATCCGACCAGGTGATGGACACCGGGTCCTCAAAGGCCACCGTACCTGGAGATTCGGAGGATTCGGGGGATGTTTAAAGCCTGATATCCCGTGCACCTGAGAAGCTGTAGGACTTGTCCTTGTCCTTTATGTTCATGACCTTTGGCACGCTGCGCAAGCCTTCCCTCGCCATGAAATGTTAGAGATGAGGCTGCAGCAATCGTGGCCGTGCCGTTCGAACTCAGCTTGCTGTTGGCGGACTTGAAGCCGCTGTCCTGCAACACGCGGCGATGTCAAAGACAAAACTCGACCCAAAGAGTTCCCGAATTTTAGCCACAGGCAGACAAGCTATTGCCGCAAACTTGACCGTTGGACGTGCAACCCACCACGTGGCTGGCTGTGGCTGGCCATCTAGAAGCCGTGTTGAATGGACAGCATAAGCGACATCCCCGAAGCTGCAGCAGAGCATCTGTGAGGATGAAATTTAAAGGATCACTAGCAACTGAAAGCCATGTGAGAATGCAACATTGCGGAGTCCCAAACGACTTCGGAGTTTTGGATCTGGCCCTCAGTGCCGGGGCATGCCGCAGCTGCAAGGCAAGCAAGAGTTGAGTGCTGCAGCCAGCTTCCCGAGAAACTTGACTCTTTAGATTGCTACCAGCCCAGTCGAAGGCCATGCCGAGCGGCCATTGCATTGCCATCCGACTTGCGTATCCACGAGGATCCTGGACAGTTTCTGAGCGGCACGAGGCCCCGAGGCTGCAGCGACACGGCCCCCCTGTCCAAACGGGCCTTCCAGCCTTTCCAGCAAAGCCAGGTCTGCGCCAGACTGGACCTTACTCCGACAGCCACAGCTGCGACTCTCGACTAGAGGACAAATCACGTAGCTTGGGCACTTCTAGAAGGAGTCTCGAGTCTCTATGGTTTCTGGACCTCGCTTAGGTGCATATAGTGTGCATACACGCACGACGCTCTTTTAGAGGTCTTCGCGGGTTGGGGTCAGGGAGCTTGCACCTGCGCATCGGGTTTTCTCAATATCGTCCCAAAGCTTCAGCTGGCGAAGCATGCCGCACAAGACTGGATCTGAGGCATTGGGCTCGAAGTTTAAAACAAAAAGCCATGACAATGACAATGACTTTCTGACTTTGGCGACCCAAAGGTTGCGAAGAGCACGTGGACTCGTGGACGTGAGGACGGAGACTCGAGGTCAAGAGGCCAAGTCTTCTTGGGGCTTGGGGACTTCGGGGCTCTTCCCCTTTCTCTCCTCTCTCGGCCGAGTTGCCACGGAGCTGTGAGCGTCCACGATGTCTTGGACGCGAACTTGCTTCGTAACGGCGACCTTCTTTTTGTTGACTTTCTCTGTGCTTAGGGCTAGGGCGGCGAGGGCCTGGTCGGCGGCTGACAGTCTGAGCCAAGTCACATCGCCTTTATCGCCGTCGGAGCTGGCACAGCAGTTGTTCCCCATGGCTTCAGCTTCACGGGTTCTTGTGGCCGCCACAGCCTCCTTTGAGGTGATTTGGGGGGGACGGGGCGGGGAAGGGCGGACTGGGCGATTCGTGGGTGCGGCGGCGCTGTGTGTCGGCTTCGGCTTCAAGAGGCCTCGCATAACTCTGGAACTCTTTTGCATGGAAATTTGCTTTCGGCTAGGAGCCTGCAGTGAGCAGCATCTCAACCAGTCATCGCTGAGGCCTACCGGACCACCGCAGGCTTCGCAGGCGCCTGCCCCTTTTTTTGACCGCACGCTTTGAATCTACTCTGCCACAGCCTTCAAGGGGCAGCTGGGCCCAGCTGTCGAAGCGTGGTGGGCTCTCGACCTTTGCGAGGCTGTAGTTCAAGTCCAGTGGTACGGGCCGCCACGGGCAGCAGCTTGTCTCCGGGCACTGTGCACAGGCTCGTGTGGTTTGGGTTTCCTTCTCCTTCTCCGTTTGAGGGTTTAGGTCCTTTAGGTGTAGGCTCTTCAGGCTCCTGCCTCGAAGGAGCTCCGAAACGAAGAGTTGACCAAGCACATCGGCGACTGTCCCGAAAACCTTCCTTCCCGGCTCTTGCGAGAAGTCGTAGCGATGCCAGTGTTGGGAGGCGGACATGCCTTCACCCATTTCTGTTTCGCCATCAAAGAACATGGCCAGTGCCATAGGCGCAGGGTCTACGACCAAAAGCTTCCCCTGGGAAGCCTCTCTTGTCCTGTTAGGCCAGGATGCGACTAGCTTGTTCACACTCTGCTGGACCCACGCAACTCGACCCCAGCTGATGGCACACTTCTTCTGAACGCAAACCGGAAAGTTCGTAGGGCTGTAGAGGCCTGCGAACAAGATGACTTTCCCCGTCAGAGTCGGCAGCACCTCTTGGAAAATAGGGCTCCAGAAAGTTTCCAGCTCATTATCCAAGCTCCTTTGATCGGAATGCATGTTGAAGCCCAGCTCGATAACAACAACCTCATGATTCTCCTTCAGGGTTTTCAGAATCCTTGCTGAGGCCCAGCTTCGATCAGTCTTCTCGTAGCTGGGCAGGCGCCAGTCATGGAAGGCTAGATGGAGCTTCCTGTCGACCTCATATTCCAGCCAACCCCAGCATTTAACGGTCGTACCCATGCCCGGAATGCTTTTAATTCCGGCGAAACTCTGCCAAGCATTCGGAACCAAGGCGTCCAGCAGACTTTGCAGGCTCCCACGCAGAACAGAGCTCCCTGCGGCAATCAAGGAAAGGGGCTTCTCAACTTCTCCCTTGATCATCTCGAGGAGCCTGTAGGTGTCCGCTTTGCTGAACACGTTCCAATAGCATGTCCTTGAGACGTATGTCCAACCATCCCTTGGGCACCCCAAGCTCAGGCATCTAGATGCCTCGCTCACCACGCTGCTGCGAACCCATCGTCCCCTCATCTCGTCCAGTCCCAGTTGACACTGGCGCTTGGGAATACGGCTCGCATCAAAGGACGTCGACAGGCTGCCATCGGGGCTCAACTGAGAAACCTGCAGCTCTTGGGGCTTCACAGTCAAGGCCTCGATCCTGTATTCTCTCGGTGATTGCGGGTTGGCGCGTGGAGGCGGCGTCACGGCAAAAAGATAAACCATGTACCGCCCAGGATCCATGATTTTGAAGGACACCTTCCATCCCTCAATCTCGGTTTTACCGACACTGGGCGTGCCAAGCTCAGCATAGAGAATGTCTCCAGCCTCCGAGCGGATCCAAGCAAAGACATTAGGGGCCTCCTCGGAGGAGAAATGTCTATCGATCTCGACCTTAACTTCTTCATCCACCATGACCTCCTTCACATCGCTACTTCCATTCCCGGACCAAAGCACTTGCACATTTGTCATGACATGCATGCTTGAAAAAGGCTTCCATGCCTTCAGCGGAGAAATGGACGGACAGGTGGCGTTGCATATTGCAGGATCTTCGGATTTTGGTGTTATGTGCAGCTTATTGGTCGGCGGCCCTTGGTCATAAAGTCTCAAGCCCATAACACTCTTGGGCGGCTTGCCGTTGTCATCCCAGCTAAACAAACTGAGTGCAACTGCAATAGCGACAAAGAAGCAGCACAGTCCGGATCCAACCCGCAAGTCAAGCGTGTGGGCCATGGCTGCGAGTTGGCTGCAATTTCTGTGAACGCATCCCATTTAAATGTCCATAATATACAAGCAACTCCAATGCTGTGCGAGAAGCTGGCACAGGGCACATCGTGGGGCACGCGCACACACACACACAGACACAGACACAGAGACACAGAGACACACAGAGACAGACACACACACACACACAGACAGACACACAGACACAGAGACAGACAGACAGACACAGAGACAGACAGACAGACACAGAGACAGACAGACAGACAGACAGACAGAGACACAGACACAGACACAGACACACACACACACACACACACACAGACACACACACACACACACAGACACACACACACACACATGCACATGCGCACTGCGGACACAAAACAGGAATCAACGACTTTCAAGACTGACAATGTCTATAGGATTAGGATCATCTGCCTAATTCCAGTTCCGGCACGGTGCCTGGACGATGAGCTTCTCGGTGTCCTGCACTCCCAACTCGAGCCCAGTCCAACGTCTCGGGATGCCACACGACTGCTTCGGACTCACATCAGCTTTAGACTTCGTCAAAGGCATCCAGCATCAACGAGAACAGGCGGCAGAGGTCCTTCTTTCCCTGCTCGATGACTGGCTGCATCTTCGTGAGGTCCACCTGACGGGACTCAATGACAACCGGATCCAAGGGTCTTAGGATGCACTATGCGCACGCTTCCCGCGTGAGCATTGTCTAGGGGCGTCTGTGCTCAGTGAAACCCATGAAGCATATTAGAGGCCCACAATCTGCTTTCGACAACTTCTGCCAATACGGCCTCACAGCTCAAGCGCACCTGAAAGACTTGTTAAGGGGGCTCATACAGCTTTCTGCAGGATCGATTGGGCTGCCTTGAGCTTGTCCACCACTGTTTCCGTCTCCTTCAGACGCTGGGCGCCCACCTGACCAGCTTTGTACATTCAGGTGTCGGCTTCTGCTGATCCTAGCCTCATGCAATTAGAGAACTACCTGGTCATAGATCACCGACTCACCGTGCCCTTCAATGCTGGAAGATTGCAGCAAGGTCATGACACGCTCTATGCTGACGGGCAATATTGAGTCAAAGGATGCATTGCCTATTCTTTAGGTGTATACCCCCCCGCCAGTCCTAGGATAATATCAATCTTAAGGTCTTAGCCCCAATACCAGGCTACTCCACCCAACGATCCCGACTTAAGTTACCATCCTAGGAATGACGCTTACAACCATATGAGTGCCATAGGCATAACCAGGCAAAGGGGAGTCTTGTAGAACTTGGTTCAGGCTTTAGGGTGGAGGACAAAGCAAATGCATTATCTCCTCGGATTGTCTCATGCTATAACTATGATACAATTTTAACAAATAGCTGCTTATGTAGTATAAATAGATATCAGAATATTACTTTGCAGGGAACAGAATGTCTTTTTGAATTGATGAGATGATCATGCTCTGCTTCAATATTATGAATGCTCAGGCTGTTCTAGTATATTGCGTTTTTAGGTTTTTCTTCTTCATACGTTGTATCATTATCGCCTGTGTTACAGATAGTTTCACAGTGATCAATAATGCTTGAATAACGCTTTATTCGTTCCTAACCTTCTGTCACTTTGTGTTTCTAGCGATTGAATGTCTTGCATATAATGTTGTCAGACTCTTCCGCATCGAAAGTATTGAAACACACCTGCTTTAACTTTTGCAACTCGGCAGATTCAACTTTGTGACTTACTACGTCCCTCTTCAGGTTGTATACTTCAACAATGTATTTGGCTTGAATTTTGTATGTGCCCAAGTTTGTGCAAACCATTTTCCTGCTAAAGAAGAATGTGTTGTTTCGTGATGTCATTTGCCTCAGAAAACTATACTCTTAAGATATGCTGGATGACGAGTATTCGACAGACCTTATCTACGCATTCAGAACAAGTCAAGGTGCGTTCGACATAGTTGCAAGAGTGCTTACTGACACAGTATTTTCGCTTGAAGCTATTAATATTTTTGGCTTGTTTAGACCGATAACACTTCTAAGTAATGCAGTATCAATAGACTACTATAAGCATCAAAACCAACTAATGTCTTATTTTGTATTGGCAGTATATTAGTAGGTTATACATCTTTCATAATGTGAGGAATTCGCAAAGCAGTTCATGTATTACGAAGTAATATTTCAACGCCTTACGATTAAACGAAACTAATTCGCGTTCTGGCGTGCTTATGACTCTGTTCCTCGCGCGAGAGCGGCGGGACGTTCTAGATGTCTGGGCAGGGGAGCTATACACTGTCAACATAAACTAGATTATGATATTCATCCTTCGTATACAAATTATTCTTCAAAATAGTTACATCTGTCTTTTGCCTAGCCTTTCAACATAGGTCTCCAATTTCGCTGTTCTTTGCTCACATTCCTCTGGCGTTACCTTTTCTGTCCCCATCCCGTGTCACAGATTTCAATTGATCCTTTTTGATCTGTCGCACCTTCTTTAAAACAACATCGTCTGGACTGCTGCTTCTTCCGATTTTCCAAGAGCTCCTGTCTTCGATAATTGATTCAGCTTCGTTGTTTGCCTTAGTCTCTTTGAAAAACGTTTTCTTTTGACACTGGCAAGGTAATCAATAGTTTAACCCATCTGTGTTTAAGTGGAAGCCACCGTTGGTGGATTCCTTCTGTTTCTCACTCACTAACCTTCCTTAGACTTTCTCAATACTCGATAACTGCCTTAACCCATTCGAAAGAAGTGGTGGCAACACCTTTAAGTATGATAATCTTCTCTACTTCCTGATTCTCATCTGTCGCGTCTAAATGCTTGCATGGGTGCAGACATACCCAAGGCGGAACCAATAGACATATCGGAACATACTCACGAAAACAAGTATGTTGATACGACGCCATTGCTACCCGAGCTGATGTTATGCGTGGCTTCTTCAACTGGCGGTAAAGCAGCATTGGTCCAGAACTTACTATTAAGACTATGAAGAAGATCCTTTGAGAGAATGAAAATCGTCTCACCCAGTGTTCACATGGACGACGTTCGGATGGCAGTAAAGAGTGAATAAGCGATGCAATGAAAGTAGGTACCGAAAAAACAGGTTTGCTATGAGGAACACGATCCCAGTGGCACTAAAGAAGATCATAGGCACTCAACATACAGTGATGTATTTTCGGAAGAAGACTAAACAAAACGATATGTTAAGCATTCTGTGAGTGGTGGAGGACTTTAGTGATGACCACGCTTTGTAAGATACTCCAAGACCCTACGCGGTGCTTTCACAAGAGGCTGTCATAGCGTCATCTTGTCCACTCAAGAATCCAATGTTTGAGCACCTAGAAGTCATTAAAACAGCAGTGCTTTATTCATTTTTAGACTAAAGAGTATGAATGAGGTTAATGCTTCCATTGCAGAAAACTCAGCACTAGTGGATAAAAAGAGTTTAAAAGATATGTATCAACAGGCGGTAGACGGTGCTCTCTGTTTTCTCTACATTCATGCGAATGATGAAAAATACTAGCAACGTGTTTCTTCTCGAACAGACTCAGACTCAAACAAGCGATGATAAACATATTTGTATAACATAATGCCACGAAAAAATGAAGTGCTCTAACATTCAGCTTTACGCAAAAAGTTGTCAAGACTTGGACATGCAGGGTTAATGTCGGACATACCACAGACTTTAAAACCAGAAACCTGTCATAAACGAATCTGCAATAATACCGACAATTCAGGCCGCTATTTACCGGCATACCAGTTTAATTATAAGAAAAACTGAGGATGGGAAACCTTTGCCATGGTCTTAAAAGCAACAGCATGTGACAATAACTCCTTGGAAACAACTCGGCAAGAGCGATAACTTGTCGAAGAATCAAGATTGAGTGCGTTAGTACCGCTTAGAACAACAGCAGAGACACAATTGAAATCGGAACTGTGAGCGTATCAAGGAGTATAAACATAAGTGGCATAAGGAAAACGAAAAGATAATATACACCAATGAGAATTAAACATAATATGTTTTGCGAGAGGTATGTAGTGATAACATTGAGGAAAACACCACATGCACACAACCGTTAACATAATTGTATACGTGGTGACACTTACACTTATGCAAGCAAGACAAGACACGAACGAAACAAGATACACCAAGCATCTTTCGTTGTTCAGATAGTGCAACGAATCAACACCATTACATGATAGTGGAACCGGAACTTGATGATTGACGTGCTTATTAAGCTTGGTGTTCGCTATCCCCATCTCGCGAAAGTTCGCAATTCACTTCCTGGCCATTTTACCGATGGAAATGACAAGGTGGTCAATCCTATCCAAGTATCCAGAGAAACTGGAGCGACGGGTCCGTTTCGGGGAAACACAATTGTTCGGAAAGAAAGAATGCGAATGTGGTATACTGTATCACCCGCGTAGGTCAGAACAATATAAAAGCCCTCCTATATCAACGATGAGGAAGAGAATCATCGAACAGTGAAGTTTTTGGAGTTGCGGTTAATGAGAAATATGCAGAAGATAGCGATGCTTCAGCACAGGTCGGAGATGATTCATAAATCAAACAATATGATAAGAATGATTGCAACGTACATCTAAAACAATGACATTTCTTCAATGCTTCCACTTGTTCTGTTATTGCTCGTAATTTACCCAACAAGTATTGCATCACTTGTAATGGTATATCAGTGTCCCAAATGTCTTTGTTGTTTGCTTGCGCAGTTCCATACAGGTGGCATCCTCAGAGTGAGAATCGCTCATATACAATAGTTGAGAGTCGATCTCTCCTTTATGTTTATGCTTTAACTTTGTTATTTCATCTTTCTGGGAAGTTAAGTCTTTTTGCATTTCTTGCACAGGCAGCACCCCACAAACAACTGTCATCTTATGGTATGCTAACAAGTTCATACCACGATATTCACAAAAAACTGACGTTGTCCGACTCAGGGGTCGGTTGAGCCCATTCTTCACATCGCCAGCTATAAATCGCACCTTACTCTTTTTATCCTCATTCTTCGTAAGACTAAATGTTTTTGCTTTGACATACTTAACTACACAGCAACACTCTTTAGTGTTCAAATCAAGGCGGTACAAGCTAAAGTTTCGCTAATATCTACAATATTAGTGTTACAAACCATGCACGTCAACAGCCGCATTTGTTGCGTCTAATCTTGAGAAACTGTTAGTACTTAAGCGAATGAACCCATCGGTATCTGGGTTATGGATTAATTCTCGCTGAGACCCTGCAAACATCAGCATGCAAATTACCAACTAACGTACTTTTCCGTCTCTTAATTGAATTTCTGCGGTGCTCCTCCCTAGACCCATTATCAAACTCATTTCACCTACTTGGCCGCTGTTTCTTTGTGATATACATCTTGCACTGGGTATCAGATGCTTCTCTGGTTTCACCGCTATTCTCTGAAAAACGAACTTATGTATTCTTGAAAAAGTTCCTGCTGGATTCACTCCTGGATTCACTACTTGGGGCTTTGGCTTTCAGGAATAGTTTCTTGCTGGATTCACGGGTACAAGGTTCTCGCTGGATTCACTCCTTTGGGTTGCCGTTTTTGGGTCACCTGTTCCTGCTGGATTCACTCCTTATGGTTTTCGTCTTGTGGATAGTGGAGGTAGGCGGGGTAAGTGGACAGCTCGGGTAGGCATGAAGTTACATCTTAGAGAAAAAAAGGACATAGCCTGCTAGCAGCTACCATGTGCGTAAGTCAGACCCAACAAGACAACGGGCTCTAGGACAGGTCTTGGGGCTGAGATTGTGATCTTGGGGTTGCAGTCCTCGAGTTGCTAGGGTGCGCGGTGCGTGGTACGACACCTAAATGGGCAATGTATGGTCCAACTTATTGAAGAACTTGCCACCGGCCACACCGTGTCAAAATTAGGCGCACTCGATAGCGATTCAGCTTCGTGTCGAGCTCGCCCTTCTTCATTCCAAGCCTCAGATCACACGGAAGGCAAGGACAACGGAAACACCTGAACCCAAACCCGGCGACGAAGTCAATAACGAGCCGGCTTCGGGCTTATTTATTCCTGCAGAGCAGCAAGTCTGTAAACAGCTTGATCAGCTCTAAGTACGAAGTCGGCGTCATGTACCTGTGGAAGCGAGGGAGGCAAAGTCGTAAAACGTGGGCGGAGATTTACGCAAAACCGCAACCCCTGACAGAAGGTGATGGTTGGGCCAACAGAAGATGTAATTTGCAAATCAAAAACACAAATATGAACAAGGACAGCCCCGGCCCTAGCCAACAATGACAAATATTGGTGCAACATTAAACAAAAAAGGAAGATCGCGCAACAGCGAAAGTGCGGTGTTTGCAATTGTCCGGCCTTTTTCGGAATCTGGCTGCAACGCTTTCCGAATTCTTCCTGAATTCTCAAACTTCAAACCCCCCTAGTGCAGTGTGGTGTGCTGTGGTGTTGTCGCAGCACCACGTAAAACCAGCGCCACATTCTCTCTACTGTTGCTGATGCTCTGTTTTTTTGCTTTGCTTGTTTCGGTGCTCAGTTTGCCGACAACAACTACTACTACTACTACTACTACTACTACTACTACTACTACTACTACTACTACTTACTAGTACTGGTACTTGTACTAGTACTAGTACTAGTAGGAGTCCTGCTACTACTGTTACTACTTCTACTGCTACTGCTACTGCTATTGCTACTGCTACTGCTACCACTACCACTACCCCTGCCACCGCCACCACCACTACCGCTACCACTACTACCAGAGTACTACTAGTACTTCTAGTCCTACCAGTTCTGCAGTACCAGTACTATTACTAGTGCTGCCAGTGCTACTAGTACTACTAGTACTACTAGTACTACTAGTACTACTAGTACTACTAGTACTCGTACTCGTACTAGTACTACTACTCCTACTACTCCTACTACTACTACTACTAGTAGTAGTAGTACTACTACTACGACTTCTTGTACTACTACTTCTACTACTACTCCTGCTGCTGCTAGCACCACGACGAAGCAGACGACGGCTACAGTACTACTACTGCGTTTCCTGCAGCTGCTCCCCTGGTGTTGCCGCGCTGCTGCTGTTGCTGTGCTGCTGCTGCAGTGCTGATGCTGGTGCTGGTGCTGCTGTTGCTGTTGTTGCTGATGCTGTTGAACTGCTGCTGTTGCTGCTGTTGCTGTTGCTGCTGCTGCTGTTCTTCTTCTTCTTCTTCTTGATCTCTGTGTCCAGCGGCCACAATTCCTTCACCTGCCCAGCGGTGTGACAGCGTGTCTGTTGGCAAAGCGCACGTCTTCCGGCGGAGTTCATCGAAGAACCTCTCGGCCGCCTCGACAGAAAGAGGGCTCGCCTCGCACCTCGGTAAGCCTTGGAAATGCTCTGGCTGCAGGCCGGGTGCTCTGCAGCAGGCTATAGTGATCTAGAGTGCAAACACTGCCAGGAAAGGGCCTTAAGCTAAAAGAGCTATGGCAATTTTAATGTCTGCAGTCATACAGAGTGCACACCGACACCTGCCTTGCAGATTCCTGAAGAAAACCGCGATGACAAAAACAGTGGCCAACAGTTTCCTCTCCACAACCATCAGCTTCCAGATCCATTTTGTCTGCCTCTTGATCTTCTAGCTTTTCTTCGGCTTTGAGAGAGGGTTGCGGCTTGCGGGCAGGCGCTGTGAATCATGCGCCATAGCGCACCGGATCCTCTCCAGCCTCCGCTCCCGACCCCAAAACCTTCCCCTCTCCACCCCATCCTTTGGCCGGCAGTCGCTGGGGAAAAACCCATCGGATCCTCCTTCTACGTCGCGGAGGCCAATTTTCACGGCCACGCTTGCCGAAGATACAGAGGGGCACTGCTTCAAAACAAAGAATACGCAAGAACCATGTCTGTGAAGTTGTGATCTTTTCCAAGTGCTTGTCACCGCTTGCTCGTCATTCGACTATCTCCCTAGTTTCAGCTTCTTCACGGCGACAGGCAGTCCGGCTCGCATTCCACAACTTCGCTTTCTGCTGGGGATTCTCGCAGAAAGGGGACGAAACCGTTTCCAGTGGGGGGCAAAAGCAAAAGGGAGCAATTCAGTCTTCAAATCTTTATCAATGGCCCCCCACCCAACGTGAAAGTACGACACTTTAGGCCCTGTCGTCAGCACCGCCCTGGCTTAGCTCCCGAAAGCTGTCGACAAGCTCTTAGGGGGATGGTATGGCTGGCATCCTCCCATGGAATGTATTGGATTCGTGGCTTCATGCACGAAAGCCCAAGGTACGGAGCGCAGCACCTAACTTTGGACACTTTTGCGGCATCTTCCGACCCCCGAGAAGAACTATATCGCAACTTCTGACATGCGAACTCTGACGCGTTCTGGACGAGCTAACAAAGCTCCGCAGCTTCGCAAGACAAGTTGTGATGCAATCTGTGCTTAAGACTTCCACCTCGCGCAATCCTGGTTGGAACAGTTCACGAGAGATCATGCAGGCACGCGGAGGCAACCACATGCTGTGTCTTTCCTGCGATTTCGGAAACAAAACTTCTCTGCGAATGCTCCAACCTCGGACGCCGAGGCGTGGATAACCTGGAAACGGCACGAGCTTCAAGCGGCTGCGAGGCTTCTGTGGGTAACAGTCTTCGGATCTGTTTGGGGCTATGTAGGGGAGCGTTTGGTTAAGGACGAGAACATGAGACTTCTCACTCAGAATCTCTGCCAATTTTGTTGCAAGCGGCGAGGCTGCAGGTTGAGCCCGAACTACACTACCGTCCTGGAAGATCCACAAGTCTCCGAGGAAGGAAGTCTCGCCAAGGCCGAGGGGCACAAGAGATCTTCGACAACGCGGCAATGCTGGCATCCAGTTCTAGCTCTTTGGGAGCCTGGAGGTAGTACCTCCCCAATGCTCAACGTCTTCCGGATTCGTCTGTTCGATTCCGTTTCAGTAGGTCTGCTTCGGCTTGAAACTGGAATTGTCAAACCGCCCATGCACGCAATGCACGAATACAAAGACTTAGAAGTAGACATACACGTCAGTCCGCGAAGCCACAAGCGCAGCCGACAGGTCGAAGCGCCAGGTGCCAGGCCTCTCTGCGACAGAAACCAGAGCGTCCTGCGAGGCTTCGCACTTAAGGCGTCTGGCGTCTCTTGGTACGGCATCTCTAGGCACTTAGACTTCCGGTCCTCGGGCCACGGATCGTACCAGTCAACAGTGGCGCAGTTGATCAGCGAAGGGAACCTTAATTGACATTCGAGGAGTGTAAGACTTCCCCAGGCCATGGGGCCACCGCTCAGCATATTTTCAAAATTCGAAAGAAAGTTGCTGTAAGCTGTGTAAACCCTGTTGCATGAGAAGTCAGGAAATTGAAAGCAAGCATGTGCAAGCTCTGCTGCTCCAGATTCGAGAGACTTTGAAAACATCTCCAAGTGTTCCGGTGCCGCACTGATCCAGCCTTTGACATCTGCCTGCTGTCTGAGGCCAACACTGCCGACAGCGCGCGCGGAAGCCCTCGCCAACTGGCGAAAACCTGGAGTGAGCAAGACTCTCAGCAGGAGCCTAGAACCAGGAAAAGGTCCAAGGTCCGGAAGAAGTGTTGCGGGGCAGGCGGCTCGGCAAAGCCATCCAAACTACGATTTTTTCACTGTCCATGGGCAGCTCTGTCTCCAAGCTCGTCAGCACACCACGTAGGTCTGCTGGCAGCGGGGCTTCCAAAGACAGCTCCTGCTCCATTGAGCACAGCAGGAAATCTGCAAATGTGTCGGAAAGACTGAAAGACTCATCGGATGCATGCAGAAGCGATCCCCAGCATGTTCTGCGTCTAACAGCATGTCATGCTCCACACGACCCATTACCTGGCCATCCAGCGCCAGGAGACACAGGCGCCGGCAATGCAGGAAGAGCCGCGGGCACAAGGTGTTCAGTTCAGGCCTCCAGCAGGGACTTTGAGGACACCGGCTGGGACCCCGGGACCCAGGGACCCCGGCCGCTGGTCTTTGTGCCGCCTTGCTGCTGTCCGTAAGCCTCGTCTCCGAGGATGGGGAGCCCGATGCTTGCCATGTGCACGCGGATCCTTTGAGTCTTTGTTGAGGGCTCAAAAACAGGGACGGACACAGCACAGCTTCCAAACGGGATCTGAGCTTCTGGTGGGTGCGGCCAGTCAGCGGGCGAGCCTTCACTTTTGAGCTTTGCCAGTGCTCGGGTGAATTTCGCTGTCTCTTCATGACATAACATCGGAGGGTTCCGGGCTTAGAGGGACCGAGAAAATTTCATTTGATAAGCCATCTCCGACGGCATCCCTATCAGTCTTGCCTCCAGCAGTGAGAACGGCGCCGCGGCGCTAGACAGCCTGGGGCTCGACACTGGCTCGCATGAAACAGCTGGAACAGGCCGTCTTGCTGCCTACAGCAATCTTCCCCGTGAAGTGGCTTGAGCCTGGAGGAAGCCCTAAAAGAGCTGAGAGCTTGAAGTTTCCGTGCTGTGTGTGGAGGCTGCCATGAACTACCTCCACTAGCTTCGAGGCGAACAGACAAATCGAGGACCACACGTTGCAGCTTGGAAGGAGGACAGAACTCGATACCTCGCAGGCTCAGCACACGACAGCTTGAAACAGCTCCCTGCACTCGATGCCTGTCAGAGAAAAGTGCGCAAGTATGCATGTCGAAACCCTTGAGAGGTAAAATCATCGGGACCCGCCCGGGATCAGAGTCGCCAAGAGTCTCTGTGCGGGCGGCACGGCCCAGGGAAGAGGGCTCGGCATAGACGGAACCCTCACTGCGCACCACCTTGAATTGGTCATTCCGAGTCGGCTACTTGCACACGTTCAAGCGGTGCGAAAGACCCCAACCCCAGCTCTGCTCTGGAACCGAAACCACAGCTCAGGGCTCAGGCTTAGGCGGACAAGGAGACCCCAAGGCCCGGAAAAATGGCCCTGAGGGCGGTCGAGACACCCGAAGCGGGCTGGTCACGACACCGGTCTCGTTGGCCTTGCCACTGCAGAGGCACCAGTACTCCTGGGACCGCATCTTTTCAGGATTCCGGCTCTCTGGTGCCGAGCTTCTCATCTTACTCGGGTTACAGCAGCTTCGCAGCCGATTCTGCAAACCCACACTTTATTCCCCCAGACATTGGGGCTGGAGGTGTGCGCGAATAGCTCTCCAGCGACTAGGTAGTACCAACTAACCGTAATGGCCGTAATGCCCCACCTCTAATCCCCGCAGACGACCACATGCAACAGTAAATACAATGCAGCTCCTTCTTCACGAGCCTTGCAGAAAATTGGGCACGGAGCCAGTGCGCTGCCTGAAAGCGACAAGCTGGAACACCAGCCGGAAAGCTGCACATGCCAGACGTCGCCCAGTGCACGGATGAAAGACCACTTGGGAAACGCACTCCATGTACAAAAAACAACATGTACGGAGAGACAGAGAGGGAGAGAGAGAAGCCACAAAGAATAATTCAAACTCATCTTTGCAATGCATGCTGCGGGCGAATCATCACCACCAAGCGCAAAGGGGAGAACCTGAGATCGTAGCCAAATGCTTGTGATGGTCTTCGTGTCGTAGTCGTGGAACAGCCACGAGCAGATCATCATTAGGAACGTCAACCGCCCCATTGACATGGCATCCCCACCATAATCACCACCAGCTACCAGCCACCATGACCATCATTGAATGATCAGCAGCATCATCACCACCATCCCCAACGCCACAACTACCAGCACCGCCGCAGTAAATATGATCGTGGGGAGAAACCGGAAGAGCGTAATACCTAGGATCAACGGACACATCACTGTCCAACAACAATCATTCTTGTACGCATCACTTAGGCTGTTATGTTCATATTGCGATGATGGTGACTATCATGGTGCTCATCACAATCATCATCACCGTCATGATTTTCAAAAGTCGTGAACTTCCTGGTGTTCTGTCTACCTCGTATGCCCCGCCACCCTGGCTTTCCAAGTTAGGAGCTCCTTCGCAACAGTCCATGAGACAACCTTTGCAAAGGTCTTGCTTAAATTAAAGCACCCTGTCTTCAGGTCACCAGAGCAACGGTCGATGCACATTAGAAGCTAGCTTTGCCGCAACGAACACTAGGGTTATGTCAAAGTGCGAAAAAACCCTCATCAGCTTGAAGAGCCAAACCGGATGCCATGCACTCACGATTTCCAATTCGTAGTCAAGTCACGCCCGATGTGGGCAGGTCAAGTCGGGAAACCGTTCCAAGCCTCGAACACATGAGAGAACTGTAATCCTGTCGCGTCCGCTTCAGTGGACTATGGTTGTGCGGGGGCAGTTTCTTTCATGCAGGCATCAGTCTAACAATTTACCAGTCGCTCATCAACGTCCATCGAGCCCTTATGACCTTACGACCTCGCGAGCTCAGGCAGGTCCGAATAACTTCGGACGCGAGACGGCATCGCCAGCAGTAAAGCCCATCTTGCCAAGGTGTCTTCAGTTGACACACCTGCCGTCACCGTGCTTGTAAGAGCGGGAAGAGCCATCTGTTTCCTAACTATCGTGAACGCGATTTGGCAGTTGACAAAGCGCCCCTCGATGCGACACCGACATGAATACATACTCCAGTCAGCTAACATTACAGGAGCTTTGCTTCACTGGCACGTTATTCCCCGCACCACTCCCTGCTGGCCCCAAATTCCACAGAGATTCTCAGTCCTCCTGGCTTCGCGACAACACAAAGACCAGGCCAGGCGCCGAGCCAGTCCTCACAGGGCCACGGAGTCACGAAGGTTCGGGCTAGGACAACGCATGGCTACGACGAAGCAAGGTTTCGTGGTGCTTCGCAGCAACGACATAGTGCGTTTTCCTGAAAGGGAGATTGGCCCAAGGCCCAAGTCCTTGTCGCGGCCGCTTTCGACCTCAAGCACCTGCTGTTCGCTCTGAAGCCAGAGGCTGCGCACACCGGCCAAGACCTTCCAAGAATCTCGTCTAAGAGCAGGTCGCTAAAAGTCCACCATGCCTTGACAGCTTCTTCAGAACCGAGAGACCTGCGGCACTGCTTGCGAAGGCTGAGGCGCTGTGCTTCCCATCGTTTTGTCGCTGCTGCCAGATCGGCAAGGCAAGTCGATTGCGGTACTGACTGCAGTCTAGCAGCTGACGAATCGGCTGCAGCAGCGAGCCTGCTCCACGAATATTGCGCGCCAATCAGCGAGTTGAAGCACTTGCGAGGTTTTGCAGATGGTGTTCGACGTGTTCAGTTCAGCTGTGCCCCGAGAGACTGCACTTGTGCAAGAGCCATCTGCATTGTGCACGCCATATCCCTGTCGGCGGACGTTAAGGCGTCCCCTGCCTAGCATGATGCCAGTGGGCAGAACCTCTCTCTCGAGCAGGTCACCTGAATCCATTCAAGCTGAAGGCGGCTTTAAGAACAAGCACCCCCACGACGACACAGACGATGGCTGCCACCGCTCTACAGCCACAACAGCAGCAACAGCAACAGCAGCAGCAGCAGCAGAATCAGGAGCAACAGGAGCAGGAGCAGGAGCAGCAGCAGCAGCAGCAACAGCAACAGCAACCGCAACCGGAACCATAACCGTAACCGCAACAGCAACAACTACAGGTACTACCACTACTACTCCTCCTCCTCCCGCTACTGCTGGCGATGCTACTGCTGCTGCTCGTGCTGCTGCTGATGATGCGGCTAATGCTGCTACTGCTACGTACTGCTACTGCTACTGCGACTGTTGCTAGTACTGCTACTGCTGCGGCTGCCAATGCTACTGCTATGACTCTGACGACCGCTACTGCTACAACGAGCCACTCCACTAGTGCCACATCTACGCTTCTTTTGCCGAAGGTAGCAGTATACGTGTCAGCTCAAGCATGGCGGCGTGCCAGGCCAGAAAGTGATTACCGTTGCATGGCGGTTCTTGATCGCCAGATCCTTGAGGCTTTCCCTCCTCCCTCCTGAACCGGAGGTTTACGTATGTGCAGAAATTACCGAAGATTTTGATTATGCGCACATCTGATCGGACAGGATGCTTTCACCTCTACCCCGCTACCTCTGCCTCCCCCCTCCTGCTTCCTTCCTCATTCCACTTCAGCGCGCTGACAGAGGCCACTCGACATGCCTGCTTGTCTGTACTTGTTGCAGGGTGCCTCCTGGTGCTGCTTCGTCTCACCCTCTTCCTCGCTCCTACTACCATCAGCACCGATGCGGTCATCATCAGCCTCGTCCTTGTCACCATCCTCATGCTGGCACATTATTGTGGCAGGTGTCGCTGCGCGGACAATTGCATGCAAAGGCTCCCAAGAGTGCCGAAGCCAGTCGCCACGGAGCTGCGGCAACAGCGCTGCAAACAAGGCCCACGGACACCGCGTCCGGGCCTTGGATGATTCGGTGCACCATTTGTGGCTTTGGCCCTTCACAATCTACAGGTCTTCGGGTTGTGCAATTCTGGGATTAGGCCAGCACTCATCGTAAGGTTTTGAACGGCGCAGTGGTCCAACGAAAATTGGAGAAGAGCAGCGGTACATTCCGTCTCACAGAGTTGCAAAACTTTGGGTTGACCGCTGGGAGCACCTCAAGTCAAGTGTTGGCGAGCAAGACACTACAATGAGGGGCCAAGTCAGTTCTGTGGATGACCCTTCAGCAGTCCAGAGCGGGTGACACACACAAACACACATCGGCAAACTCCGCCCTACGCTCTATCTCTGCCGGGGCTCGTGGCTGAAGTTCTGTGCTCAAAGCGAACAATGAAAGGGCCTCGTTGCGAGGCCCGAGTGCCGCCTTCTGAAATCCCTTACCCCCGGCAGGAGCCTCCATCCATCGGCCAGAGCGTTCCTCAGCGGCCAGATGGGAATGCAGGAGCACGATGGCACGATGTGGTGATTCACCACAGCGCGGCTTTGCATGCGCGTCATGACGCGCGCTGTCTTCGCCTTGCGCGAAATTTCCCTGCAAACTGTTGGTCCTCCATGTGTTTCGTGTTATCAGGAAAATGTCCTATAGACGCCTGTGGCGCATGCGCCCCACAGTGGCAGTGTGTGGTGTCTGTCTGTTCCTTTCACATCCTCCAGGAGCCGCTGCGCCGCGGAAGCTCCGACCGAACTTTGGGTTGTGTGCTGAAGTGCTGCGAGCGGCGCAGCAGCTCATGGCGGCATTGAAACTCACTTCGTCCGGACCTAAGTGTCACCGGGGCAGTATGAGCAGCGCATTGAGGTCGTGTGCCTTGTCTTGGACTCCCTCATCCCACAAGGAGTTCAAGTGTTCTGCAATGAAGCCGGAAGCCGCCGGAAGCCGTGATGTCTGTTGCGCTTACTTGGATGCTTCCAGACAAGATCTCAGACACACTACTGAGTCCGAATATAAACTTCCTTCACCGCTCCAGTGCGACTGCAACAATTTTCTGCAGTTGGATCCTCCTTCACTGCATCCTGTCGCATGAGGTGCGAAATGCCCACTTCGAAATAGGATTTAATTTGCAATGACTAGCTTTGTGAATGTCGCACGATGGAATGAAGTCGACCGAGGTGCAGTATGTGACTGCGGGGGACCAGACCGAAGCAATTCGAGGTAGCTGACATAAGATGCACCACAAGAACATGATCAACAAAGAATCCATACCATTCTCATAGACATGCACCCTTATGGATTCGAGGGTTCTTTCTGAAGTTTTGTTGCACCCAGCAGCAGATCTCACGGCTTCCCATTGATGCCAGTAGTGCCAAGCCCGACTCCCATTGGATACCTGCAGGCGTGCGGACCGATGTCTCCAAAGATCCACTACATTTACTTTCAAGACTTCTTCTGAAGCCGTTCTCTTCCTGGCAAAGGCACCCAGAGCACAAGCGCTGATAGCAGAGTCGAAGGCGATCCTGTCGGGGGGAATCGCGCGCCTTACTTGCCATGACCGAACAAAGTGATCTGCGCTGATTGATGTTGCTCAGATGCTGCAGTTACACAGCTTCAGGCTCCAGATTGACCTAGCTGCTGATGCTACGGCTCCTGCATGGTTTGCTCTCCAAGACTCCACAGAGTGGACATAGAAACGACACATCTGCAGCAAAGACACGCTCCCATGTTTTGCAGCAACCTGGGACAGGATCAGCCCAAACCCGCCCAGCCCGTCCCCTTCTCAGGCGCTTTGCCCAGATCCAAGCGTCTCCAAGCCCCATGGCCACTCCGAGCACACACCGCAAGCACTGATGGCAGCACTGAAGCCTTGCTCAACTTTCTGTCATAGTATTTCGTGGTGGGCAACTTGTTTTGTGTGTATGTAAGTGTATATATATATATATATATATATAACATACAAACATAATATGTAATATACATATGTGTATATTAGCGTATAAGTGTGCATACATATGTACATATACATATGCATGTATCTATGCATATATCTACACACAACTGTATCTTCACTTATGTATTATGTATAAATGTACACGTATACATACAAGCACATACTCAGTTTACACTGTAGTACGTACCGTATACAATACATACTATACAGTATATAATAAGCAATATATTCAACTACAGCCTGCATACTAGACAACAGTATACTTATGCACATAAATATACCCACAACATATTGGCTATATGATATAGAATACAACATGTGATTTAGTACAAGGTAAGGTAATGTCATATAAACACACAAGATACAATAAACATGCGACTGATACCGTATGATCTAGAGAGTATACAACGTATATAGCCGCGGCATGTAACATGTACAATATGTAACGTATCACCAACCAGTCATATGCTATAGTACACCACATTCCCTTTCAATACATCGCAGTGTAGAATGTAAATCGACATAACATATCATATACCCGACAGCTTTTCAAATTTTTACGTAGAACCATTGAATATATACTTATGACAGAGTATCACACAAATGACCTTCAACAGGTGATACATAACATATATCAATACGCCTCAATGTATAATGACGGATCCAGACAAAGCAAGCACACAATTACTTAGCTTCTGCCTTTGGTTTCCGAGCACTTCTTGGCTGGAGAACCTTGATGAACCTTGACTCATTGGAAAGTCCCGCGGCTGAAGGCTCTGTTCTAGGGAACTTCCAAAGCTATGTGTGACTCGACATCGCCCACAATCACACGGACACGGAATGGTAACAATACGCACGAACAAGTCGTGCGCTCCCAACAAAGTCAATCGTAATCCTGGGTATCTACATTATCGCGGCATCAGCACATCTAAAGCTTCTGATCCGAGTAAACCGAGCAAATGCAGAGAGTCGTGGGGGCGAATCTGAGGAGGTTATGGATTGAGGGTGTCGGGTGCCGAGGTGCATCGTGAGATTTCATCATTCTGATTTCTATAGGTTTATGTACAGATCGTCATCAGTCACCGATCTTGCTGTCTACCGTAAGTGCTGACAAGTCGACTTTCCTAATGAGGCTTAAGCCGATTTCGAGACACGGGGCCCACAACGTCCGGCGGCACGGCAGCATCTGACGCTTCTTGCAAGAGAATCCTGCAGAGAGACCAGGCTTCCAGGTGCCATATTATATGCTCACGACGAGTACCGCTGGTATCGTCTTGCCGCGGGTCTACCGGTCTACATTAGAGAAACATGAAAGACGATCGATGTCCGAAATGCTTCGGGATCTCTTGTGCCACCCAGCATCATCGCTGTTTGCCAGCGACGGGCTCGTTCACAGGCACTGATGGCAGCATTGTAGGTTACAACCTGTGCCCAGAAGCTGATATGGAACCAGGCTATCGCATAGGCTCAGCAGTGACAGACTTTGAGAGCTCTACGGCAGGAGCACAGCAGACGCCCGCAGAGCGCAGATGCTGGCGTCTGCACAATCCCAGCTAGTTGAAACCGCCGGGCTTGGCCTCCCCAGCACAATCCGAATCGGCAGTCTGCGCAAGCAGTCACCCTTTGTTGGCCCATCACGAAGTCACCGCACTCTTGCAACCCAGATGCTTGCAGTTCGAAAGGAGCCCGAAAAGAGCCCATGTACTGCTGCGGCCCAGCGGCATTCGGAGCTTCCGACATGTCGCGCATCAAACTCAGCAGATGGCAGGCCTTGGCAGACAAACAGTGGTTTAAAGCGGCCTTTGCAAAAAAGGCTGAGCCGCCTTAGTCGCCTTCTTTTGCTGTCGGGAGGCCGCCTCCCATAAGGCTGCGCGGCCACATGCGCTGACGACCTGCAGTGCACCCCAAAGACAAGCGACATGCAACGCGGCAATGCTGAATCTCTGTGAGGAGGACCTGAGAAGAATTTCGGAGTGGTCAGGTCGAGGAACTGCGCTGAAGCTGACACAGGAAGGCGAAAGCCGCTGCTCGGGCATCTGCACCAACCTAACATGTGAATCACACTTCAACTCCTCTCATGCAGCACTTGAGCCGTGGTCGACAAGCTGTCTCCCTCATGCTCAGTTTTTAGCCTCTTGACCACTATGTCACCATATGTCCAGCACAGAGAAACCCAGTTGCAAAGCGCAGAGGGAGGAGCGACTAGACACTGCTCAAAGATGAATTTTTGTGCCCCGAGAACTTAAAACAAAAACCCATCCGAATCTCGTGGACAAGCGACATCGCCAGAGATTTTTGCCACGACCTGAGCATACTTGTTGACGGCAGCCGCTCACTCTGTTCACGCTTCTTGTGATAGTGCAGCCGAGGTGACGAGGCCTTCTCACAGCAACTGATGGCGGAATTGAAGGCAACCACATCTGCAGTCAGCTTCCTGACAACTCGCGGCCCAAGAGTAGTTCAGCAGAGGCATCTTCTAAATGCTGCTTTGTGGAGACTTCTCGCCGGTGCGATGTGCAGCAGAGGCTCTGGCGTGGCATCTCGTTGAGAAGCGACAGAGCCAACTCCCACTGGCTGCCCTTCCTCACTGTGGTTGCCGCCGCTGAAGCAAAAGAGTCAAGCAGAATCAGGATTGGACTCTCAGAACCTTCACGGCCGAGCTGCTCGCATGCAGAGATGACAGTGCCATAGCTGATCTTGTTCCTCAGCGATCATCACAAAGACTCTGCAAAGGCAGTCTACCACCACACTTCTGCTAATCGTCGTATTATTTGGTTTGTTGAATGCTTGTGAAGGCAGGTAAGCAAACTTGCACAAAACCCAAATCCTCACAGCGCCATTCCGACCTAGCAGCGGTGCCAAGCCTGCACCGCAGAGCTGGCCAAAAAGATCCAGCGACAATGTCCACAAAGAAGTCTTGCCACAGGCGTTCATCGCGACATTGACGGAGATCCTCGAGTTCTGCGGGAAGAAACAACATAGAACCGAACGCGAAGGTCAGGTGATGACCGGCCCAGGATTGACTCTCATGTTCCAGGGCTCTCATGAGAAACGATGCACAAGCATGTGTGCGATCTCTCATCGCAACATATCGCAACAGATGCCAAGATTATCCGAGATTCAAGTCTGGAGTCACGGAGGAGGGAGACATCAGCCTTGGGTCATCACAGAAGCCTGTTTCTCCAGGTGCAGTGCAAAAACTTGCAGGCCCCTGCCACTGCAAGCCGAGTTTTGAGCCGAAGGGGCCCCAAAATCGCCAGGACCTGCTGCCACTGCGTCGCGGCCGCGCACCTCACTTCGGGGTCTTGGGCGTCTGGATGGCTTTCTGGACCTGGGCTGGGCCTGGCTTTCCTTGTCTGGCGCTCTGATCTGCGAGCTGAGCATCGGGCGCCCCAAGCGCGGAGTTGAAGGACACTTGGTCCTGGCCGGGCCCGGAAGTCGCTGCGAATTTTCCGCGCTTTCATTTCTTCGGCGACGGAGTGGCACGCATGCACAGAAGAGCAGGAGATGCAACTCCGACAGGTTGGCAAACGCACTATCCAATTTCTGCCGGATTCACTAACTACAGTAGGTTTCGGAAAACGGGGTTTGCAGCTGTTGCAAAACGGCAAAACCAGAGGAGCTGCAGTTTTCGAGGCACGCAAGAGCTGACGGCCGGTCCTGGGCAGCTGTGTATTGCTCGTTTCCGTCGAAGATTTTTGGGTGTTGCAGTGGCGGAGCACGCAAAACCGGAGGAGGCATCCAGCTGCTCTTCAGCAACGCGTCAGTGAATCAAGCCGAGAGCCGTTAAAGAGCTCCGGCGGCTTCTTTTCCTCTTCTAGTGTCCGTGGGTCACTCAAGATCTTTCACTGTTTGGGGATCTCTGGCGTCATAATGTTTTTTCTCCGCATCGGCTAGTGCTCTTCATCCGTCTCGTCCTCCAGCTTTATGTGTTGTTCCTGCCCTGCTTGCCCCCTGCATCCCTGCTTCCCCCTTCTCTTCTCTTGCAATATCTTGTAATTCGGAGGGACCTGCAGCACCTGCGATTCGGCAATGAATGCGATTCCGAGCTGCTTGCCGCAGCTGCAGCTCAGGCCTGAGGCAAGACGCTGCGCTCATCTCCGTGCTTGCAGAACAGCCACTTCTGCCACTACGAGGAGATTTGCAAAGTTTGCAAGCATGGGGGCATGCGAAAAAGAAGGCGGCAAGCGTGCTGCCAGTGCCCAGCCCTCTTCCTTAGATCCACTCGGAACTGACGAGCAGTTCTCCGAACCCCCCAACAAGCGACGCCACAGCGTTTGAGAAACTCTGCCACAGCGACGCGCTGATGCAGCCACTGCAGCAAAGCGGCAAAGAGCCGACAAGGGTGTTGGCGTGGAAAGAGTGCACTTCCACACCACGGACACGCATGAATGCCAACCTGGGGAGCTGGAACAACTGCAGCTGAGGGCGAGCCGTCCGTGCTCTTTCTGCTAGCAAGATTTTGATACTGCCATGTAGTCCTGGAGCATGGAGCTTCGAACAGACTCCCTCATCGAGTGCATGCAGCAGCGCGCGTCGGGCTTGGGTGCACCCCATGGCAGAGTGCAGACGCTGGCCCTCCAAGAAGCTACTGCAGTAGCCTGGCCAGGCTTCGACTCAGCACTCCCCCGCTGGCTCCGGAGGGCAGTTCTGCACTCTGCCCGGCCGGTGCGCGGCTGGACCCGCTTCGTGCTACACGGCAAAAGACAAAGATGAAAGGCACTGAGACATATCGAGCAACCCAGCATGTCGGACATCCGGTTTGCGGGGGGAACTCGGGGAGACGCTGCGACCGAGAAGCAGCGCTTCCGCCAGCCCCGGGTCCTCGGCTGAAAGCCTTGGTGCTGTTGGCTCCAAAAGCATTCAGGAACTTCTGGGGCCCATGGGGTTCGTGTCCGCTGAGCTGCCTCTGGACCGCTGCGGTGCCGAGACTTGGATCAGATGCCCAAGCTTGCACGAGTCGATGCAACGCCATGGAGTCCTGACCTGCCACAGCACGGGTCTTGCTGTGCCCTGTATGGTATGAGCATCGCCTCGTGCATGAGTGAGGCTCCTACAATCTCGCAAGCCAGTATCAGGCCTGCCAGCATGCTAAATCTGTAATACATCACTTTGCACTGTCCGGCCTGTCGGAAGCATGGTGAAGGGTGCAAGGAGTGACGAAGCTTCCGAAATCCGACAGGCCCCTGCGGTAGATATGCCTCCTTCACTCAAACTACCACAGTAGCCAGCTTGCCCAAAGGCTTGTGCGACTGCACGTGGAATCAGAAGCAGGGGGCCCGCTAGAAGTGTCAACTCGGGCTCCTGGGCCCTAAGGTAGCTCAGTGAGGAAACAGTCCGTGGCGAAAGGCAGCAAGCTGCCCTTGAGCCAGGCAGGCAACAAAAGAGCGCTCAGGCGGCCGGATTGGGGGCTTTTCGAAGCGAGCTTCTTGAACTCTTGGTAGCTTCGCTGGCTTCGCTTTAAGGTGCTCGCAACACTCGGCTCCCGGCGCCAGAATGATGTGGAAACCCTCCCGAACCACCTGGACGAAGTGCTGCCTGCAGTCAAGCTACCAGGGCCGCAGTACTGAGGCTACAGAAGGCTCTTGTAAGGGCTGTGCCGGGACAAGAACAGCAACCGGGGCCAACGCCAGAGAACATCGCGGGCGTCGACCTTCCCGGCTGCCTTGGCCAGGGGCCTCGTGAGGCCAATCACCTCACAGCATCTGGCTCTGAATCTCCGAATCTATCTGTCCCCTCAAAAACGATTCCCTTGACGACGGCCAAGCAACGGGTACCCTTAGCATCCTCAAGATGAGGAAGGGAAACAGCCTCCGCTGGCTACGGGCATTGAATCAGCGGCGGCCTGCTCCTGCTCATCAGCCTGAAAAAGGTTCGGGACCTGCGCCAGGCACAAAAAGCCTCGAGACCTGTGTTTGGCTCAGTCTAAAATTGCTCAGCAGTATTCATAGCGAAATGAACGAAGCTTTCGGAGCTTACTGGCGAAGCCTCGCCGGTGTTGAGGATGTTGTTGATGTCCTCCAGGAAGGACTCCTGCAGATGGAGCGTGTGGCCGCCAAACTTGGAAAAAGATGCAGCTGCGACAAGCATGCCAGTGCATCAATGGTAACTTAACTCACCGATGCACTGGCTTTACGCCGACGACTATACAAGCATATCGATGACAAGGAAGTTGACAAACAACTGGTGACAACCAGTACGATATCACAGCGACGACGAACTCAGCTACAGCGACTGCAAACACAACGAGGACCACGGGGGGAGTAAAGCGATGGCGACAGCAGCAAAACTTGTTCCTTCTGGAAAAGGCAAACAAAAGACCACGATACTGACGGCATCGACGCGAATGCCAGCGTAGACTCTGAAGGCGAAGCGCTGCCCAAAAACCATTCTATATACCCCCACTAGGGCTCGTAAAACCACAGCACACGAGTCCTACCCCGAAGTGCCCGGTGGGCGCAGACGACATCGAGTTCGAATCTTCCAAGATTCCGAAACTCCTTTAGAACGGTGGCGCTGGTAATAGTAGCCGTTGTGGTACAGCAATACTAGAAGCAGTCATTGTTGTAGTAGTCGTCGTGGTCAAAGCAGTCGTGGTAGGAGGAGCAGTAGCTGGACGAGGAGAAGCGGTAGGAGTAGAAGCAGCAGTCGTCGCAGTAGCAGGAGTAGCAGCAGCAGCAGTAGCCATAACCATGGCAGTCGACATGGTGGGAGTAGATGAACAAGCTGTGCCAGCAGCAGCAACAGCAGCAGCAACAGCAGCAGCAGCAGCAGCAGGAGCAGAAGCAGAAGCAGAAGCAGAAGCAGAAGCAGAAGCAGAAGCACAAGCAGCAGTAGTGGTGCGACTTGTCGTCATCGGTGGGGTATGGCTGGCAATGTACATCAATTCGATTACATGGTTGGCACCACAGGTTTTGAGTTGTTCTGCTTTAGATTGCATCGGCTGCACAGGAATCAAGGGATGTCATGAGGAGCATGCCGCAAGTTCACTGGTGAGCTTGTTCGACTACTGTAGCTCTGACAGAACTACATTTCCGAGCAAGATTGTACATAATGTGGGGGTCGGTTTAGTAGTATGGGCTCCTTTAATGCGTCGGCTCGGGGGCTAATTCCGACCGGTACCAAAAATTTGGGCGGTCTAATTAATGCGTTTTTTTTTGGCGGGGGGGATTTTTGGGGGGCGGGGCTGTGCTGTTTGCTGATGGTCAATCTTAAGGCAGCCACGACCTGAAGCCCCCACCCAAACCCCCACCCAACCCTAAAACCCTGGCCCTGAAGCCCGAAAATCTACCCTGGCCCTAGCTCAAAAGAGGCCTCTCCAGTACTAAAGTTTGTATAAAAAAATTAAGTTTTGGGTCGAATCTGGACCGACCCCCCTTTGGAAGGGTTTAGGGCTTAGGGTTTAGGGTTGTTATAGGGTTTAGGAGTTTAGGATTCGTTAGGGTTTAGGGTTTGTTAAGGTTTAGGGTTCAGGGTTTAGGGTTTCAGGCGCTGGCTTTATGCTTTGCTTATTGGGGGAAAATGCTCACTGGCTTTATGCTTTGCTTATTGGTACTATTTCTGTACTATTACTGTATTACTACTGTACTACTGTACTACTGTGGTACTACTACTGTACTACTAGTGTACTACTGTACTACTATTGTACTACTACTGTACTATTACTGTACTACTATTGTACTACTGTACTATTATCGTACTACTACTGTACTACTATTGTACTACCACTGTACTACTGTTGTATTACTATTGTACTACTGCACTATTATTGTACTACTACTGTACTACTACTGTACTATTATTGTACTACGGTACTATAATCGTACTACTACTGTACTACTACTGTACTACTATTGTGCTACTATTGTACTACTGTACTATTATTGTACTACTACTGTACTACTATTGTACTACCACTGTACTACTGTTGTATTACTATTGTACTACTGCACTATTATTATACTACTACTGTACTACTATTCTACTATATCTTGATTATTGGGGGGGGGCTGCTAGGGTGAACCGCCGAATCGGGGATTGGACCCTAGCTCAAAAGAGGCTTCTCCAGTACTAAAGTTTATATAAAAAATTAAGTTTTGGGTCGAATCTGGACCGACCCCCCTTTGGAAGGGTTTAGGGCTTAGGGTTTAGGGTTTGTTATAGGGTGTAGGAGTTTAGGATTCGTTAGGGTTTAGGGTTCAGGGTTTAGGGTTTCAGGCGCTGGCCCAGACCCCCCCGACCCCCGACCGCGCAGTCGCGCAGCCCCAAGCCAGCCCCCACTCAGACCCCTGACCCCTGTCCGGGGCCACCGGTTCCAAATTAAACCGACCAAATATTTTTGGTCGGGGGGGGGGGGTACCCTAGACTTAAACCGACCGCCACATTATATATATATATATATATATATATAAACATCCGCATATCGCATCACAGAGGCTACTGCAACACTCTGTTCTTTTCTCACTGCTGGTGCGAACACAGTCTGTAGAACCCGCAATTGCGGGAAATGCTTTGGTAAAACATCCGGATAGGTAAAGCCAGACAACCCGGCTCCACTCCGGGTTGCTAGCTCCACCCCGAACCGACACGGTTCGACATCCCAATGCACTATCCCCAAAGCACTTCTACAGAAACCGGAACACCAGCATGGCCGGCACCAGGGGCAAAGACCATACTTCAGTCGGGAAGAAGGCATGGTGGAGGCGGAAGCCATGAGAGGCAGCCCAGGGGTCCGACGCACCCAATCGACTGATCGAGTCGGACCAATTGGACTTGCTGGGTACCCACTCCCAGTAAATCCAAACCCGGAGCGAGAAGAGGGCCACATGTATGAGGTGTGCCAGCCGCTCAAGATCGGGGGAGTCCGACCGCCCTCGTATGAGTGCTAAAGGCCGCGACATTATCAATGTACCACGTGCCACGACGACCACGAAAGGTTGAAGCACGGGCAGTGAGGGCGAAAAGTACCATTGATAATTCGAGCTGCGCATATCTTGACCTCGCCCGGCAGAAAGGCATCGTACGTGTGCCTGTCGACCTGCGCCACGAAGGCCTCCCGACCAGGCTCACTGCCCGGCCACAGCAGGAGGAAACCGCCAGTCCCCCTGCGCGGCTCATCCTCTGCGGCGTCACTCGCCGCAACGAAGCGGGTGCAAGAAGAGGGAAGGATTTCCACTTCCCGGCGAGGCCGCAAGGAGAGGACGGCGCGAATGACCACAAAGGCGGTGCGGATCGCCGGGGTCAACTCCCGCGATGATTCGTGCTGGCGATCCTTCAGGGCACAGATGCCTCCTGTGCCAATGCGCCCGTAGCCCCCTTGCTCGAGGAAGTTGAGCATACCGTATAACTTGGAGGCCAAGCCCGGCGGTAGGCAGGCATCCTTCTCGGCT